TATAATATAGCAAATTTTACGCTTAGCAACGTTTAGCTCCGTTAGTTTAAAAATTAGATTAATTGACCTCTTATAAAATGTAGAGGTAAGAATATTATTTATACATGACTTCGTGGCCTTTTTACTGTATTTTAATTTAGAAGCGAGTTATAAGTATTATAAAACCGTAAATTGTTTGCACATTTTAATCTAATATTATTATATAAATGTAATTTTTTAAATACAGTATAATTTACGAAAATTTATAAATGATTTTGTACAAAAAMATTTGATAATATTTTTATTCTGAGACTACTACACATATGTGAAAATGAGAAGGTTTGAAATACCAATCGCCCCTCTACTCTTTTTTTTTATTTATTTAGAACAATATATTTACAATCTATTTTTACAATAATCAGTAAGTATGATGACAAAAATTAAATTCCCTCTACTCTTACAATAAAATTAACAGTTCTTTAGCTGTGTAGTGGTATCGAAACCTATAAGGATGAGGCTCACTATTAAAAATGTTAACTTCGCTTTGAAATGTTAATGAGGTGACCTGTTTCCACATAGGTAGTAAATCAGAAGTGAGTAGCTACACGATTTTAAAATTAAAATCTAGAACTTCATATACCTAACAATATTATAAACAATGATAGGAAGAAAATCTGTTTAATTGCTCATAGGATAATAAATGAAACGAAAGTCTGTTGTAAAAAAAAACCCATATACACATAACTAATCAAATATATATTTTAAAAACTTTTAAATGTGTTGGTATCACAATTCGATATTCTTACAGATTTACTCATCGAAGACATTAATTTAACTTAGTTGAAATACGCATATTTCATTGCACGCACATTAATGAAACCTAGTGGTTTTTTTTTCGATATTTGAACTATTAGAATATTATTATACTGGAAAACCAATTTTGTTGTGAGGGCCTTGTTAGAATTACATTAGCTTGGATAAGCTGTGAAGAGTTTCAGACCTTTATCTTAAATGATTCATTTACTATAGATTTTTAAAGGTGTACATCATAAAAACACACACAAACACATAATATGTAGAGATGAGAATTAAGTACCAAATTATTATCAAAACAATTTAGAATGCTAATTATTGCGTGGAATTTCCATAAAAATGTATGAAGAAGTACTTATTGAAAAGTGGTTAAAATTTTAAAAACAAATCACCACAATTTTGAATACTAGAAAAAAATACTTTTGGGTTAGGAATATTTTCTATTCGTGAGCTCCGACTAAAGTAAAATCTTGTTTAATTCAATTTCTCCTATTTYAATAAAATAAATACATGGTACAATAATCCTTCAAGAAAAATAATAATCAAGAAAGTGTACACGCTCACCAAGACTTGGCAAGTATTTATAAAACCAAACGATGTTTAGTTGTAAAATTTGGAATAATATTAATGAAGTGACATGTTTATTTCCTGATGAATGCCTTGTATAACAATATAATTTAATTAACTATAAATAAATTTAATCCCATAGTTTTAGTATTTCAGTATTTGATTATAAATTAAGCATTAAACATAATGTTCATAAAAATTTACAACTTCACTTAAATTAAATGACATAATTATTTATAATCGTATTATTATATTTTCATTACGTGATAATAAGAATTAAAAACTAGCCGCGAACTACTTAATATCAGTGTCGTAGCAAAGGGGGGGAGCATATTAAGGGCTTAATCTAATCCCCCCAACCTAAATATCAAATTTATTGTACCCAGTAAAACCGGTAGTATTCCAGAACTCAGCTAGAACTCCTAACAATAAAATACTATAGCCCCCTGCCGAAAAAGTCCTGGTTACCAGCCTACCGGTAAAGCACGATTGAGCATATACCTTTTTAGCAACACGATTGAGCATAGAATATTTTATGCGATGTTGCCAAAATTTTGTAATTTATTATTTTGACGTATTATTATTAAGCACAATTATTATGATGATATCAGACTCAAGCCGTGAGCCGAGACCAACTTTATCGACAATGTTATCGATTAATAAATTAGTTCCGGAGCAATAAATTTCTAAAGTGTTTTAAACATTTATAGTATTGGGGGGAAATAAGTAAGATAATTAAGATACGATTCCAAAATTATTATAGAAATAATATCAGTGTTCGATCACATATAGTCGTGTCACATAAAGTGCATTTCATATAGGTAAGTGCGTATAGTTTTCTATTTTTTATTAAATATGGTTTTAAACAACAATATAACTATCATTTTATCAGAAAAAGGCAAAAAATTGGCCCTAGTAARTTTATACAAATATAAATTAATTGGAGAAAGAAAAAAAAAGATAATCTCTTAAGATGGAGTTGTACAAACAATAAATGTTTAGCAATAATTTTTTCCGGTTTAGATAAACGTAAAAATAATTGAAACTTCTGGACAACATAATCATGACCAAAATTCAATTGAAAAAATAGAACAACAAATTTTGAGAGAAAATTGCAAAAGAAAAGCTGAAGAATCAATYTCYACACGGCCAATTAAAATTATTCGYACCGAACTTTTAAATTCATCTTCAACATCAAATTTAATTAGACAAAATGTAAAAAATGTACGGAAAGCAATGTATGATAAACCAAAATGTTTTATTCAATTGTATACAATACATGGATATAAAAATGGATAGGTACTACTTACCACTTGTTTACATTTTTTACAAAATAAAACTAGGTCTACTATATTAAAATGTGGCAATTTTTAAATAATTTATGTTTATTATTATGCGGAAAAAATTTGCAAATTTATTTATTTCATGTTGATTTTGAAATTGGAGCTCATCAAGCAATCATAGACGTATTTGGAAATATTAAAATAATTGGATGTAGATTTAATTTGGGACAATCATGGTGGAGAGAAGTAAGAAATAATTATTACTATATTATTATAGTATTTTATAAATTATCTGCATTGTATATTATAATATATTACTTTTCTTTAATAAAATATAATAATTTGTTTGTAAATTCTTAGCGAACCTTCTCTTAGAATAGCATACATGGACAACAGTAATGAATTAGGGAAATGGTTGAAAATTGTTTTTTGGTTTGGCATTTATTTACCCAGAAGAAGTTGTTGATGAATTTCACGAATTAATGTGTGTCTTAATATATATTAATATAAATAATATGTCCAAATGATTACGGTTTTATATTTTCTGACTAAGTTCTACACAACTATATTGAAAATCACTGCCAATTTCCACCAAATATTTGGGCTGAAATTCCTTCGCCAAACCCAAGGTTTTTACAATATTTTTAAAAATTAATATAAAAACTTTTTTATTAATTTCTATTTTATTTAATTTTTTAGAACGACCAATTATGCAGCCGAAAACTTTCATCGCGCGTATAATTCGCAATTTTATTCACCTCATCCTCATGTCCATGCAGTCGTTAAGGTCTTAATCGAAACACAAGCCGAAAMGTTGACTAAGATCATATCTATTCAAAATAAATCCATAAAAATACATCCTGCTAACATCATTGTAGGTTTTCTTTTGTATTTTAATTTCCTTTGATACGCCGACAATTTTGCTCAATAGTGTCGCAAAAAAGGTGTTTTATGCTCAATCGTGTTTCAGCCCTGGCAGTTACGGTATTGCATAATATATTATATATCATACACAATTTAAGTGTCCAAATCTGATTAACTTCTTGAAGGGTGCTGATATCATTAGTCAGTAAAAAAAAACTAACACAAATTTATTTTTAAAAAAAACGTTTTATTATGTTAATATCATACGATCTTCAACAAGTAGGTAACCTTATAGAGTTATAGATGACATATAGATATTCAATCAGTTAAGATTGTATACACACATGCACGATCACAATTCAATCGTGTTTGTGGTTTTTTCAACTATTTTTTATAATATTATTTTGATTCTTAATTAACTTTCTTAAAAAATATTATTAAAATTGTGATAGTAAAGTGATTTTTTTTAAAACCCAAACTATGTTTAATAGGTAGTAGATTTTAAAATAATAATTATGATAAACGAAATTTTTATTATTTGATGAACGCGCAATAAACTATAAATGTATTGAATCCTATAATTTAGACATTCTTATAGTCTGTTCAAGTTATGAAACGTCTGTAGTCGTCGGCCGATGTGTGAGCAGAGCATGGCAATAGGCAATATCAGAAGTTATACAGATAATTGACAGAGTAGGGTGTTGCCTGACTACAKCCCGATGAATACTGGTCGCCGCCGACTACGTTTCTTAATTTGGGCAGAGTATACATAAATGAGTCAATGAAAGTTCTTAAACTTTACAACTTCACTTCACTTAAGTTATTATTAATATGATAGGTTGTAATATTATTATAATACAGTCAAATATATGTCAAATAATTAACGATTTCGTACAAATAAATTATTCTTATATTTTTTAAATGACCAATAAAAATCTGTAAATAATCGTAATAGGTGTGTGTTATTATTACGTGATCATGAAAACTATTTTATAACCACATAATGTACCTAATACACAATATACAAAATGAAAGGGAAAAATTATTTTGAGTTTGTAAATAAAACATGAGTTTGTAGTGAAAAAACAAAATCCATAGAACACAAAATAAACCAAACATATTTCACTAATTTGAAATTGTGTTGCCGTGTATTAATACGATAGGTAATCCGAAAGATTAGCTTATCAAAGACATATAAGATTTCAGATTTTGTTCATAATATAGTTATGCATTTATKATATACATAAATAATTTAATTTACTCGTCTCGCGTCGGCGGCACTGATGTACCTACCAATAATATTATTATTTATCACTTGAATAATCGACTGCTCAACGAAAGATAAGAAATTGCATAGTTTCAATATTAGTGTTATTAAAAATTAGTATCTAAATAATGATTTCATCGTTCAAAATGAAATGAGTTACATTATGATGAATTTTAGTTTTTAGAATTGGTAAGTCTACGCTTTAATCTATAACAATAAGATATAATTAACAATAATTTAGCAATACGAAATTACTTATTTTCTTCAAGATAAATTACATAATCAATATTCAATATATTTATATCGTTATAGTACATTACTTATTACAATACTAGTTTTTTGGGACCGGTCAAATACAGGGACGAATCTGAAAATTATTTAAAGGAGAACGAATAGGGATATTTTTAAGTGACATATAAGGTACAAATAAAACTTAATCAAAATTCACAATTCGATCTAAAGTCTAAGTAAGTTAGGCCATCCCTAGATATGTGTATCATACAATATACTACAAAACTATAATAACAGTATTATATAATCCTATAGTTATACCATATTGATTATTAATATTGGCAATCAAAAATTAACTCTACATTTCAATAAATAAATTATACAATTTAGGAAAGCAGATATAAAATAAACTATGAAAATGCATGCACCATTTTTTGTTACTTACTAAAAGTTGTTTGTCATAATTAATCCACTGAAGTTACTATGTACCTACGTACATCGAAATTTCAGATGATGTGTAAAATGTGTTTTGGTAAGTAAGTGATCTAGTAAGACGTTGTCCAAGTGTGCAAAAACATTTAGCGACTAGTTGAACTCAAAACGATGTTGAAGACGAACCACCTATTGAAAATGGGACTTGGTGTCGTTGGATGTCAGGATTTCGGTTAGATTGTTGAGGATAGATTTTCGTTTTTTTATAGTATCTAAGACCGGTGTTCTTCAGTTTTGTGCAACTGTAGTCTTCTTTGAGTCATCAAACGCATAGCATTTGACAACTTGGACGGTATTAGTTGTAGTTTCTGGAGTAATTCAGACTGTGGGTCACGCGATAAATATTTAATTCGTTCAAGATGATCTGATTCAGAGAAAACCCGTGGCTGCTGTCGTTTTTTTTCCATAAGCCAGTTTATATCCATTTGGGATTGAATTATTTGCTTCGTTGATTTTAATTGACCAGAATGTTCTTCTCGACGCCATTGAATTTCTTCTGGATTTACCATTTGGTTCACTGGACCAGATATTTGCCGATCCGGTGACGTACTACTTTCTGAAGATGAAACTGAAGGCGGGCGACGGTCACGGTGTTGCCTTGACCAGCGATCTGTGGTATTTATGGTCAGATCCAAATCTTTTAAATCCTGTTTCATTTTAAATGAAAAGTGGCATTGGAGCGTAGACAATGGCTGTATGGGTGGAAGAAAAAAAATGAAATTAGTACCTAATTATGTGTTATATGAGTAGTTAAAATTTTAAAGTCTGATTAAATGGGTKAATGTAAATTGTAACTTTTTTGTATTTAAATATCTGATGGTAATATTTTTGACAAGTGAAAAATGTAGAAATTCAATTTGTAATAACATTTGACTAGTAAAACTATTGTAAATTATATCAATAATCCTGTACAACATAGGCGAAAATAGCAGTTGCAATTTGGGGGTAAGGGTTTTGAAGCTTAGGCTTATGCCAGACTCACCGGCATTTGCGGATGTGCTGTGTTATAAAAGCTTTTTGACTTATCCCCCCCCCCCACTTATATTTCTGAGACATGCACTTTTGGGGTTTTAGAATGGAGCGGCTATACAACGGCAACAGTTTAGGAAAGGCTGAGCCTCGCAGTCTCCTTCCAGTTATTTGCGCACATGATTGATACACATTTTCTTTCAGAGTTTAAGGTTAAAACTATTACATAGTGTGTTAAATAATATCATAGGCTATCATTTTGAGATGCTGAGCAGAGCGATGAATGTATTGATCTTACAATGATGTGTGTTTTTTTTGTACTTTTTTGTGTCTGTTATTAACATTTGGGGCAATAAAAATGCTTTTTTTCAACAGTATATTTTCTAGTAGAATATGAACCAAGTTGATCTTTTTTATGGGAGAATGGAGAGGGGTAAAAATTTAAAGATTCCCAATAGTCATAAAGCAGCAAAAAAACAACTAAAAAATTAAGGAAAGATGTGAATTTTTACGTAAAACTGGTTTTCGACATAATTGATTTTCATTTTTGACGTAATTCTAAAACAAAAAAACCATAAATACATGACATTTTCACTGAAATATCATTTTATCATTTTCTTTACACCATAAAATTTTCAAAAGACATTGACTTGATTTGAGCTGTATGTGAACATTTTTAGTTTCCAAATATTTAAATTTTTTTCTATAAATGTCAATAAAATTGTATTCCTTGGATAAAAATACGTGAACATTTAATACATGAATTTTAATATATTGTTACAATGGAAGTTAAAAATACAGTCCATTTTTTTTTCAAATTATTTTTAGACAACATTTCATTACAATTTTCCTTTTTATATTTAAGAATTTAAAATTTAAAACAAGATTCTTCATAAGTTTTTCTACCTTCATCAAAAAAAAAAATCTCATCTGGAAAGTCAAATTAAATTTTTATAATTTTTTACGAAAGTCAAATTTTTTATAACATTGGATTCTTTAGATTTCTAATACAACGATTTTCTTATTTTGTTATGAATCAAAAAATATTTACTTTCTTTAAATGATAAGATTTTCATAATATTTCAACTATTTTGAAGTTATATATAGACATTTGAAATTTTCAATTATTTTAGTTTTTTATTCTACATTTAAATATCAATAACATTTTATTCGCAAGGTTAAAATGCTCGAATATTTAATTTGAGGTTTCCTATGAATTTATATCCTAGCAGTTAGAAATATCAAAAAGCAAAAGGTATATATTTTTTATAGCTATTTAAAGTTCAAAATTTGACAATATTTTTTATTAAATTTAAAATATACGAATTATTTAGTTAAAATATCCCAGACTGACAAACCGTTTCCGCTCAATATCTTTTTCATATACAATGATATTATATCATTGAATTCAAATTTATTATTATCTATCACAATGACCCACTTGTAAATTAAAGCAGAGCGACATCCCCTTACCCAGTTTTTTTCTTAAATGTTTGATTCTTAGATTATGTGTTAGTAATGCATATTACATGTTTTGTAAAGTTAACGTTCTGTTCTGATAAAGCGTATAAAACATAATATAAAATTTTCTAAACCATACCTAATGTAGTTGTCAAATTTAGATTTGTATAATAAACTTCTTTTTTTTGGTCAACCATTTTTATTGAAATTAATTGAAAAAAAAAATTAAAATATTTTGAAAATTTCAAGTATCTACTATTATATAAAAAATTAGGTGTAGGATAATATGGAATTATAAGTTTCATAATAAATACATAATTTTATATTTTTAATTTTTAATTAATGTTTACCCCAAAAAGCATTAGAATTTTGCACGAATGCTGCAAAAAACTGACAGTAATTACTAATTAGTATGCACCTTAAAGTATGTTACTCACATTAAATGTTTGTTTATTATCTGCATCGGATACTATGGTCGGCGCCCGAACTGGCTCAAATGAAATATACTGATGAGCCAAACACCGATCGAGCCTAGGTCCTTCCGGTAACACAAACGGTGGTTCATTGATGTCATCATACATGTTTTTTGATGAAACTGGTGGTGGTGGCGGTAGTATAGGTTGTGTTGGTGGCGGTGGTGGTGGTGGTGGAGTTGGCGGTTGTGGTGGTGGAGATGTTGGTAGAGGTGGTGGAGAGGGTTGTTCTGTTGGAGGTAGTGGTATAAGATGTGGCGACGGTGGTTTTGGTGTTATCGTTAGAGGTGGTGATGATTCCACCTCTTGTATCTGTTTTGAAACTGGATTCTTTTCGACCATAATATTTTCTCCCAGCCAAGGTTCGACCGGTAATCCGGCGATAGGTGTCTCCGATCGTTGAAACTTTTTGTCAGTTTCAGTTGGATCTAAGTTACAATAAGTTTTACTGTCATCATTATTAGCAATCAAAATAGATTCCGATTTCTCCATGACTAAATTGGCAATATTGCAACCAATAGAAGGTTGTTTGTTGTCCCATAACATTTTTATTTCAGACGAGATGCTACGCATAATCTTATCTGCAGGCGTACGTAACTGATAGTTACTTTTAGCAAGCTCTTTAAGAGACCACACAGCATATCGATTGCCTATTTTTCCATGTCGGGCAATTACCCACACACGATCAGCATCTCGATTCAAATCCAAATCAGATATGTCATAATAATTGTTATAATTTGTTTCCTCAGTAATATTTTGTTTTGTATCATCATAATCTTCTTCAACTAAACCAGAATCGTGAACATTTATATTTTCCATATGACTTCGATTTGATTGGATAGTTACTCTACCAATAGGATTGTCAATGTCTATCACTCTTCTATCAATATAACCATTCGGGATAAACTCGGTCATATTCGGATCATATGCATATAGATATCCATATTTTAACAAATCTTCATCAGATAACTCATCGTCGGGTTGCTCAATTTTTTTTTCTTGTGTTTTATGAGGTTTTGCTATGATAATACCACATAAAAGTGCCCAATGTGCGGTGCTTCCACCATTTGTCAAGGATGGCATCATACTTCTATCACAATCAAAACTACATAAGCAATAAAAGTAAATTAATTAATATTTTTAATCATTACCAACCATATCTACGAATAATAAAAATAAAATAATAACAAAATACTTACCATACAGCAATCAAGTGACCACGCATCAGACGCTGGACCACGGTCAGTTCCGATGACGATGGTTGTAAATTTACGTTGTCAGACGTCTTTGTATGCAGATCAAAATGATCTAATTCGTTAATTTCACCATCCGTGTTGAAATCAGCTGGCCCTACACATTCGTTTTCTACCTCAGATCTTAATATTTCAGATTCAGTACCAACGTCTTCTTTATTAGTATCGTCTGTCATATCCAATAAATCACGCTTTACCAACGTCACATTATATCGTCCGGTTTGGTGAGTCTTAGCTAAATTGACCATAGCCTGAGTGCTAAACATTTCACCACGGCCCGAGTATCCTGATCTTATAGCCTCCTTTTGTATATCCGCTAAATTAGGTACGTCGATATCTGGAGGATTGAGTGTGCAGTTTGTAGAGTGTAAAGCCTTTCGCCGCTCTTTTTCTGTGGCCTCCAAAATGGCTTTTTTCACTACCTCATTTAAATCGTCAATATCTTCTAATCCATTGTAGGTATCACCATAATCACGAGCAATGCCCATCGCTGCCTCACAAGTTAGTATTGGACGTGCTGCCATAGCAAGTACTGCCAACCCACAACTGTTCATAGAAAAAAAAAAAAACATTTTAACATGTTATGCTGGTGAATACTTAATATCACAAACATATATCTATGTTATGTACCTCTTGAAAGCTGACTAACCTAGCTAACACTACCACGATGGGGTTTTCTGTTTGAGAAATAAAATATTTTGACAGACATTTTGCATTAACCCATATTTTTAATACATTACATGAAATATAAAATATAACTATTATCTAATTCATAAAATAAATTAGTGAATTATTGTTTATTAGCATAATAAATTAAAATGTATAGTTTAGATCAGGTACTTATTATATTTCAAACATCTACTAATTGAGAAAATAATAAACACAAAGCTTGTTTTGATAAATATGTATTGTAGCGTAATGCTTAAATGTTTATAAATTGAATATATCATACACGTACACAAAAACGGAGAGGAATATAATGATTTCATTAAATATTCATACAATTTTACTTTAAAATAAATTATAATTACCCGACACTTTCTAAATTATTTATATAAATAGAGAACTGAATTCATTATATTTTGGTTTTTATATAACATATTATTGCAAATTTCTAATATCATATAGTACGAGGTATATAACATAACGACATGTCAAATAGATACTAACTTTTGAGCTGATCAATATTAATATTTTTACTAGCATTTTATACTAGTATCTTATAGCAACACCTGTATGTGTTATCTTAGCCTTCCAAACGCGTAACATAACAAATTTACGCTCAGCAGTTCATGTTTTACTCCATTAATTTAAAAAATAGAGTGAATAGATCTATTATGAACTTGATGGTAAGAACATTATCTGTGTTTTGTTGGAAGTAGTTGTACGATAATCCAGTTGTTTTTAAGTGAGTTATGCGTGTATAATAAATTATAAAATAAAAATTCTCACAAGTCACTTAAAAACTAAATTATCGTAAAAATACTTCCAACAAAACACAGATATTCTTACTATAAAGTTTCTTAATAGGTTTATTCACTCTAATTTTTAAGCTAGCAGAGTAAAATGTGAACTGCTGAACTGCTGAACGTAAATGTGGTATGTTAGGCGTTTGTAACACTGATATGGGTGTTGCGCTCTCTTAACTGAAATGTTCGTTCTCATAAAAATATGAATCCGTTACCAAGATATGAGTGTAAAAGCGTGTAACCGTGTAGGTATTTCCCCATAAAATAGAAAATAAAATTAAAATTATTAATTTTGGTGTATTTATATTATAATTTAGTGATGTATTAGTTATACTGTTATACATGTATAATGTGTACAATGTGCAATTGACTTACTGTATTATTTAATGTAATTATGACTTTATAAGTATTTATGTATTGACAGTATAGTGAATTATGTATGGACGTTTTAAGTTTAATACTAAATAAAATTTGATTGTAAATATAAAAATATCATGTATCTAAGTGTCTTTGATACATGTATCTTGTATCTTGATCACTAAATGTATGTATCATGTATATGATACTTTTTTTTTAGTATCTTACCCAACATTGACTATAACGATTGATTCATATGATTCACCAATTAATTATTATTTTTAAATAACTACATAATTAAAACTAATCGGTAATAAATATTATTTTTTTAATGGCAATCGTGAAGAGTTTTTCCACTAATTTAAATTAAATGTAATGGGACATTATTGACCGTAATACGTATTTGTCGACAAATTTATCACTAAGCGCGATTTTATTATTATTTTGTGAACAGTTACAAATTGATAAAGCAACGATTCATGCAAATTGTGTGGTGAAAATGTTTGATATCGTGTTATTTAAAAAGGTGCTTCCGATTAGGACCATTTTCAATCGTGTTATACCAAAAAAAAACTACATAGAAATTAGCTCTCCAGGGTTGATAATCACTTTGCCGAATCCCGATTTGCCGACTACTCAGTTTACTAGCAAATATACCAGTTTAGTTTTAAAAAACTTTAAAAACATTGCCCTCTAGGATGCAGACGTATTATACCGGTTTTATTAATATAGTTTCAATTTTCTCGATTCGCCGATAGGTGACAATAATTTTATCGATGACTAATATTATGACAGAGATAATATTATAGTATGTTGTCGATAAGTCGATAAGTTTAATGCTTAATTTTAGTCAATTCAGTTAATTCCAGCCGTTTTTAGTGTGAAATTCGAAATTTAATAACCATTGAAAAGGGTGTGTCAAAAATAAAAAGGAATGGTTCAACATAAAAATCACGATTTATTAGTAGTAAACAACTTAATTCATCGAATAGACAGAATACGGAACAAAAGTTAATATTAAAAATGCATCCAAAATTATGGTGGTCGTGCCTCATGCTATTTTCAAAAATAATAATGTAAGATTATTGAAGACCTACAATCACTTAATATACGGAGTTGAGTTGGTTAATCATGGTTTTCGAAATAAATTGATAAGTACTACACAATAAAAATAATTAATCATTATTTGTATTTTTTTTTTTTTTTGGAATTTTTAGCACATACTTATGTACATAATTTATAGTACATATAAATAAATACTTTGGTTATATAAATAATAAAAGTCCGATCCCTATTTATAAGTTTTTTTTTCATATTGAAATTCATTATTGTATTATAATAAAATATCATATATACATACAATTATTTTTTTATTTGTTTTCATGAACCATTAAATTTATATTGACTTTTATTATATAGTATAATATGATGAATATTTTATTTTTTACAAAAGTTGATACTCTAAAGTATACTTTAAAAAGTATACTTACTCACAAGAACAATATATATATTACTTTAATTTTACTATATTTTTATTATGATATTTAAACAAATTGGGAATCGGCAAATCAGGAACATGTAAAGAGGTAGGCGTTGAAAACAGGGGTATCGGCAAATTGAGTTTCGGTGACGTGGAATACAGGGCTCTACTGTAAGTATATCTACTATGTTTTGATTTGCATTATTTTGCAAGGGTGAGAGTGTACTTTGGCACCATTATTATTTTTTGAATCTTTATTTGATAAAATCAACTTATTTATACTAAAACATGGCAAATTACTTAAAACTTAAAAGTTAATACCAATCATGGGCGGATAGGCCTACCGGGCAACCGGGAATTTCCTGGTGCCCCCCCTTCGTATTTCGGTAATGGGGCCCTTTAATATCATATATTATTAAATTATTTTTCATTTGGGGCCCCTTTTTAAAATTTTCCGGTAGGTCAAAAATGGCTTATCCGTCCATGATACCAATGGACCGTAAAATGAAATGAATATACCAAAATAAATATGTAAATTTTAATTTTAATTTTAATCTAAATACATGAAAAGCTTAGATTTAAAATATTATGAAAATGTTAGGGGTACATCTTTTCTAAATTATATGAAAAAAATTATTTGGTGTATTCAAAAAGTGATGTTAAAGTATAGAATATAAATATAAATATATTTCAGTTTTCTCATTGCTTTTAAAAAAAATAGATTAAATTTACATTATTTTGTATTATTTTATTCGACAAAATTTGTTTTTCATTTTTTTCTAATATTATAATACTAAGGTAAGGTACCTACATTTTTAAATTTTTACAATATATAATAATTTTAATACATATTGACGTGTGCCTGTGTAATGTAAGTATGCATTATGCTTTGTGTAATCCATTCATTCAGTAGTATATTGTCCAAAAGTAATATTTTTTTATACGAAATTATATTATTAGGAATATTCTCAAATTTGAAAATTGAATACCTATATTTTCTAAATTAAGATTTTTCTAAACTAAGTACCTAACACTCGTACACACCCATATTAACGGATATTTACAAATAACCAAACGTTTGTTTGATATTTTTATTCTGATTACAAAATTAGAAGACTTGAATACGTCAATCAATAGAAACCCGAATAAATTATTCGAGTGCAATGCTCTGAATTAAAACATACAAGTAATTAGGTATCATAAAATAGAACTCACTTGGGGCCAGTTTGACGAATCCACCGGACCGGTATCATCCAGCAGTAWAATACCAATTGATCCATCTCGTCGGGTGTCGCTTCAGTGGCCATTTGATCACCATAAAACTGCTTCCAAGTATGAGAAACCTGTTCACAAAGTGACTGTCTCAAGTCATTCAGCCGGTAGTCCACTAATTCATCGCTGAGAGACAACTGGCTATCCATGCCGGCCATTATGCCTTGCTGAGTCTGACACCAGTGCAAGACGCGTTCCGTTTTCCGTTCGGCGTTTAACAATTCTTGGGCACGACTCTCGTTGCGCTTACTCTCGGCGGCTAGTATTTCAGCACGTCTAGCCTCCATGTCATAGGCAGGGTCTTCCAGTCGGCGTTGCCAGTCGTAATTGTTACGCGTCTCGCGTCTAGCTCTCCTCATGGCTCGTCGCTCGCGTCGTTCAATGGCTGAACGTTTCATGTAGCCCTTGAATCTTTTAAGTCTGAAAGATCCGTTCGCGTCATCGGAGTCATCTACCGTGTCMGTCTGATGTACATAGCCGTCGTCACTGGCCATCATGCTGGATGTCTCGCTCAACGATGACACACCGGTGACGGGCGGACGACCACGGGCCACACCACGCGGCCCGCTTTTCCAGCTGCCACTTTCGTAACCGACGGAATCTGAGTCAAACGAACTGTCTCCATCCGTTTCGGAATCGATAGAACATTCATGTGACCATATAAACGACGAAACGTCACCATGTTGTTGTAATGCGTTAATTATGTTTGGCATGACACCAGACCAACCATGTACTAGACCACGGGAGCCCACTAACATACGCGCTGCTCGATTCACCGACAACCTGCCAGGATTGAACCGAACCATGGGCTGGTCATTCGGATGAGGGCGCATCGTAGCTATTATTACTATCAACGAGATCCAGTTGAAAGAGTCCTGAGCGGATAGCGTGTTTCGCAACCTTCGTATCGCGTCCATGGTTTCTTGGTCATTGATGATCAAATTTTCCATTTGGAGAATGCGTTCATACAACATAGTTGCGGTGTTGTTGGCATGCATATCAAGTGGTAGGCTACGGTTTGGATCAAGCGGATCGCCATGCATGAATTCGAGTTCCTCGTTGGGGTTCTCAAGGTTGGATGGCACCAACATAACAGTAAATAGCGGGGTGTAAAGCTCTTCTCCTCTTTCATATAATTCAAACGGACCTTGACCCGCACCCCGGAGTAACCAGGGTCGTCCTTGTATGACACGGAGACCGTATCGACGGCGGTAATCGTTTTCTTCCATTCGCACAAAGTCATCTAGATATATCAAAGGGAATCTCTGCTGTCTACGTTCTCGCTCTTCGTCATCGCCCCAAAGTTCATCGTTACGGTGAAAAAATGGTATAGGCATACTTACTATGTCGGTGGTTGTGTCGGTGGCTGTGTCGGTGGCTGTGTCGGTGGCTGTGTCGGTGGTTGTGTCGGTGGTTGTGTCGGAGGTTGTGTCGGTTGTGGTGGTGTCAGTGAAAATCCTGCAGGTAACCGGTGCAGTGCAGGAAGTGGCCGAAACGTTGATCTCTGAGGAACCTGGTTTACTAGTTGTTGTGGTAATATTCGGTTCAGTGCGGGTGGAGGTCGATTCGCAACCCGTCTTGTCTGCAACGGAAGTAGCTCCGGTGGAGGCCTGAGCAACGAAAATCGGCGTACCCCAGGTGATGACCGATATTCGTTGTCTAGCCTCGGTAAAGGCACCGTCGTTAAGTCTTGTGTGCCTATTATAGTAATACGAAATGGTTTTACTTCGGTATTTAAACAAAAATCATTGCCAATGAGTAGTAGTGAATAGTACTGGTAGCATCGGTAATAGTGATGGTGGCGACGGTGACGATATTCTGTTTGTAATCAGTAACCGTTATATCAAAGTTTAAAAATAATGTGCAATAAAATTTTCAACGCGAGCGCCTACATCAATGAAGTGCCGATATTTTGTGCGACGTCGTTGGGTGAAAGATATGCGGGAAAGTCGGGCACGGATCGAAAACAAACCGTTGAAGATGGCGTGAAACACTACTCTGGCGTAAGGTGAATAAGGAAAATCGAAATTGATAACCAAGATCCACGAAAAGAAACGATACCGTAGTGTAATCCTAAAAATTACTACACGATCGAGTGATACGACCTTTTCCAGTGTAAATGATTGTGTATTGACAAGAAATAAGCTATAAAATCTCACTTACGACAATACGCACTAAAAATTATGAAAAACTTCTAAATACTGGTAGTTTTCAAAAATTTCGGGGGAAAACTACGCACATGAAGATAGAATGAAAGGAATGCACCAACTGCCAGTACAGCGCGAACGATTCGAATGACTCCCTGACGGACGATGGCAAAGTTTTACCGGGCTTGCGACAGAGGCACAATCGAATCGCTATACTAAAAAGTTCGATATACAGTACCAATAGAACAATTCGATAGTAATAAAAATAATGACCCAGCTCATAAAATCGATGAGCAATGGATCATTCTAATTACGAAATATAATGTATTTTAATCCTAAAAAAATATATACATAATACAATATGTTAAAGCACTTGTTTTTTATGGACAATGATCAACACATTAATTATGACATAGGATATTGTGACCAATTGTTTTAATGCAATCGTAATATACAAGCACAAAATATCGTTGGCTAGTCTATTTAAACTATCGAATTACCTATATTCGATAGTAAACGAAACAGGGAGATCGATAGTGACCACCACCGATACACCGGTGTCGCCAACATAGCCTGCTACAGCCTCCACCAACCGACCGTGATCGTTCACACGCCTCCACGTCTTATCCCCGCTTACGATTGCACGCTACGGCGCTATCACACCACACTAGCGGGCGGCGCACTTCGATAACAATAATAATAATAATTTAAAATCATGATAACAATATTATTATTAATACATTATTTTATATTTTATGACAATTTTTTTCGTTCTATAATATTATTATTACAACTGCGTCGTGACAACACAACCGATAACAACGTTATCGGTTATATACACGTAACATTGTGGCTAGCTGTTTGCTACATTGTTATTTAAATTTTGTATAATATACTTTAACGGCAGTGGTGGCAGTGACGACGATATACTGTGTTAGTTTTGTACCTAACCACGTATCGCACCGTCGCAAAAAAACGACTCGACCTTTAGTTTTCAGATAACACGCATTAGTGATGTTGACAATCAGACGAACGAACAAACAAACAAAATACAAACATCCAGACACGCGTACATTAAACTCGCTACCGGATTATCTCCGGTCGCCCATACAAAATGTTAGTTATTCCATTTCGGATCGTCCTTGCACACGTACTCGGTTTACACTTACATAACATGGCTTTTGTTGACCGGTTTGTTTGTACGACTCATCGTCACTGTCGCCGTCGCCGCCACCGTTGTCCTTGTCGGCTCGTAAAGCAAATAAACAAACAACAATTTCGTTGTTATTACCGCCACGACGATTTACAAGATCATTGTGTTTGGTCGTGACCGTCACGGAGTTTCTTTTTAGATTTTACGCTCCAAACCGCGAGAGAGACTGCTCCGTGCTCGTCCTGTGATCAGCAGTTTTCATGGTCCATCTGTGATCTGTCCGTCAATCGGTATTCGGCGATGATAAGAACGGAGTAACGAATAATAATAATAATAATTATATATTTTAAGGTATGTAGGTCAACACCGTAATTGATAACAGTAGCGATTGATAACCACGTCGCCGACTCTGCAGCCGCTTTCCGCATCTAACTGCTAACCTGATAAAGTCGGCGAGTGATTGGTATCTGATATCACATTTACATACAATTACATAATATATATATATATACATACCATATTTACACGAAATATAATAATATCGTACAATAATAATTAATAACGCCTTATACTCTAATAACACAAATACGTTCGTCTGCGACGGCACGCGTATTAAACTCATTGTCGACTTTATTATAAAAATATTATATAATCGGGTACGTGCGACTGTCTGTGTGTACCCGTGTCCATATGTGTGTGTTTGTGTGTGTGTGTGTGTCTTATTTAATTCGGTCGCGTTAAGACTACAACAGGTACAATACGTGTACAACGCCCGAGACGTCTTTGACTGCAGTTTTTGAGTCCGTTTTCTGCACGTCGAATACCTAATTGGCCTAAGCCTTACGACGTCAACGTTAGCGTCAGCTGACGGTCTTGTCGGTGCGCCGTTGACTTGCTGCTGGAGGCGAATTGGTCGCTCGTCCGGGAACCGTGCACGCGCGCGTTCGCTGGCTCGTCCATGGACTTTGGATCGGACTTTTTGTGCCGGTTTGACGCTCACGTGTACACCCGAACTAACGCGGTGGCACCAGCCGCGATAACGAAGTAAAAAACAAACGACTGTATCCGATAGTGAAAATTGCTCTTCACACGTCGCTCAAGTTACGACAATAATAATTTAATTACGCATTGATTGCGATACCTCACGGATTTTTTTCTGGTTTGTGTTTTTCCGGAATATTGTTGCGGTCTTCGGTACATCCACGCACAGGTAAGCAATTATTCAATATATTATTGTAATATTTGACCTCCTAGCAGTTATAATAAAGCCTGCATGATCACAACAAAAATAAACTCCCTGTCTGTGACGTTTGCAAACTTTCAGTTACCATTGTCAATTATTGCAATTTAACTGAAAATATTTTTAGTGTTGACTGCTTACGCTCCACTTTCTCATTTACTCTACTTTCAGTTACTCAATTGTCCCTTGACCAATTATTATAATGGCTATCTCCCAATATGCGGTCTACCTCCGTTTTGTGTGCTACGTAACTATAAATATGAGTATAGTATGCGGTCTATCAATGTTATGTGTTCTACCTATATAGCTGGGAATCCCGCATCATTTATATTTATTATCTACCAATTTATATGTTTTATCTTAATTTTTCATAACAATATATATTTTATCATATAGGTAACAATACAGGTTACTGGGTTATTTGGTTTAGTGTCGTTTGTATTAATACAACTTTTTTTAAATTTTGAGTTGAAAAAATAGTTTTTAAAATGCTAGTTAAAGAATTTTATAAAGTTTTTTAACCGAAGAATCTACTGTCAAATACCTGCAAGATTATGGTTTACTACCTTGTGCAAAACAAATTTTTTTATACTTTAAATTATACTTATATTGTACTTTATTACTTTAATATTATTACGGTAGATTACGGTCCATTTTGGTAGACCTCATATTTTTGTGGTAGACCGCATATTGGGAGTATATCCTGATCTATAAAATAAAGTATTGTAATTTATGGCTTTATTAAAAAAAAAAATTTAGTGTGTATTTTCTGTATTTTTTTCAGTGCCTATTGACTGTCATGGATTATTTCATCTTTCGTGCAAGTGTGTAGTATGTTCAAAAACTACAAATAACGAAAGAAGTCAATAAGATGATGATTTCACCAGGAGGTGGTGGTGGACACCAGTCATCTGCCACTGCTGCGGTGGCGGCAGCTGCTGCGGCGGCAGCTGCAGCATCCTCTGCAGCGGCAGCGGCTGCATCTTCCTCTTCCTCAGCTGCAAGTAGCTTTCTGCACTTAGGTGATGTGGTGTCGCTGTATTCGGAAGGCAGTGTTTCAGGCTTTTTGAGTACCTTGGGGTGATTATAAATGCAACATTTTAGTATCTACTTATTATATTATTTTACTTAGTAAAGTAATATTTATTTATTTTTTGTTAACAGTCTAGTTGATGATAGAGCTGTCGTTTGTCCTGAGGCAGGTGATCTTAACAACCCACCAAAAAAATTTAGAGGTATGTGTATACATCTATAATACTGGGTGATTCTTTCATCATTGAACACTCATTATTTCAAAAATTACTAATGTTTTTGAAAATATTTTGTTACATGGTTTCAAGTTGTTCAAAAACCAACATTTTTATTTAAAAAAAYGTATTTTTTATCCTTATCATTTTTTAAGTTTTTACTTTTTTGAATGACAACATAGAGTTTTAATTTCATATTCCAAAGCAGAATATTTTTCTTAGTATTTTGATTCATAAAAATCAAATTTAGGAAGAGTAGTTTATGAGTTGTAAATATTTAAAATATAGATTGGCAGAGTGGAGTGGTACAGGGTTACCCCGCAAAATGTTTGTCCACTACTCCGCTTGTCTGTTGTTATTCAAAAAAGTAAAAACTTAAAAAAATATAATTTTTTAATAAAAACGTTGGTTTTTTAACAACTAGAAACCATGTAAAATAATATTTTCAAAAACATTAATAATTTTTGAAATAATGAGTGTTCAATGATAAAAGAATCACCCGGTATACTATTAAAAAGTAGAAATACTAGAATATTCCTAACTCTATAGGTGAAATTGATATGAGTTTTATCTAATATTTTTCATTTAGACTGCCTCTTTATGATGTGCCCTATGAATCGGTATTCCGCTCAAAAACAATTTTGGAAGGCAGCTAAACAACAACAGCTGCAGCAGCATCAACGTTTGAGTGGCAATGGATTTCCACCTGGGATTGGACCATTAGGACCATCTACAACAGTAGGACCTCCAATAGCCACAGATACTGTTTTAATTAAGCGTCTACATGTAAGTATCTTTTAAATTATTAATACATTTTTTATAAGGAGGTTACCTATTAGTATAAAATATAGAATATGTAGTCACCCTATCTTGCCACAAAGCGAATAATGGAATTTTTATTAGTTTAATATCTCACTGATACAGATTTGAGTTCATTGATCTTATATAATATGTTAGAAAATTCCGATTGTACATACAATGATTATACAACTTACCATGATATTATGTTAAGCAATAAATAAGAAATTGTTAAGTATGCCATACATAGTATATACATGTTGATATATCTAAGTAAAATATAATCTTTGAAGTATTACATCATTATAATTCCTTCAAGCTTACTGAAGAATTATAAAATATCTATTGAGTGAAAGATTATTTACTTTACCGCTAGCATATTATTTACTAAATTGCATATAAAATTTTAACTTTCACCCTTTTGTAGCATGCTGCTGAGATAGAAAAGCGCCAGAATGAGTCAGAGAACCGCAAACTATTGGGGACTGTAATCCAATATGGCACTGTTGTACAGGTATGCAATAGTATCGCAATAAATAAACTTTTACTTATTTTTATTTACAATTGTTTTACTCATTACAGCTTCTACATTTAAAATCCAATAAGTACTTGACTGTAAACAAGCGCCTGCCTGCTCTGTTGGAAAAAAATGCTATGCGTGTCTACCTTGATGCAAATGGTAACGAGGGCTCATGGTGGTATGTGATGCCATTTTATAAACTGCGTTCTACCGGGGATAATGTTGTTCTCGGAGATAAGGTCACCATGGTGCCAGCCTGTGTTGGTGGTGGTGCATCTCTCGGTACGCCTGGTTTAGGAGGTGCTATGGGTGGTACAATGGGATTTGGCTTCGGTGGAGGCAGTGGATTTAGTGGAGGAGGAGGATTTGGTGGCATTAGTTCATTTGGTGGTAGCAGTTTTGGAGGCGGTGCCTACTATAATCATCAACAACAACAAGTTGCATTGCATGTTGCTGGAAATTTTGAGCTTCCTGACAATCCCGGTTGCAAAGAGGTCAGTAATATTTTAATCTCCAAATTATACTCTCATTGTTTATTATATTATTTTATATGTGTGTGTTATGTAACATGTATGATTTCAATTATTATAGTGTTGTACTAGTATATTTTCTTGACCTACCTTAATTATTGTATGCTATGAATATTAAATCGATTATTTTCTTTATAATTATATACTTGATATCTCATATTTAATTTACATTATAATATACTAATAGGATCGACAAATTTGATCATAGGAATCATGAAAATAAAAACAAAACCATTTTATGCAATTTTAATATTAGCATATTATATTTACATGGATTATTATTTATCAATTAATTACTTTAAATAAATTAAAAAATTAACTTATTAAATTATTTACATATTATAAGTATTATACTGGATTATTATACTCTTGGAGTTTTAATAATAAATTATGAATTGATTAAATAGAATTTCTAACAATGATGTTGTATATTTATTTATTTATTTTTATTTTATTTTATTTTATATTTCAAATTTCTTTTAAATTAATTTTAATCAAATAATAATTTTAAAATACACAATTATAATTTTTTCATTTCCTAAAATAATAAAACATACTACTCAATAATAGAAATGTTATTTATGTGCTATCTATTATAAAATCATGTATTTACATCAGTATTTTCATGATAAAATGTTATGGAATTCAGGTAAACGTTGTCAATGCTGCTACAGGCTCGTCCATCCATCATCATGTACAACATGGTAACAATCAACAAATTCAACAATATCAACAGCAGTCGTGGAAGGTCACTTTATTCATGGAGCACCGCGACAATCAAGATGATGTGTTAAAAGGAGGAGACGTTCTACGCTTATTTCATGCTGAACAGGAAAAGTTCCTTACAATGGATGAGTATAAAAGACAACAGCATGTATTCTTACGAACAACAGGACGAACTTCAGCCACGGCAGCCACATCAAGCAAAGCACTTTGGGAAGTGGAAGTAAGTCATCATCTATGATTATCACCTCTATTTGTTTAAATATAATTATAGATAGAAAATAATACAATTTTTCTTAGATAGACTAAAAAAGTATAATTTTCTAAGAATTTATAAATCGGACAAAAGGTGAATTTTTCCTATATCTCAAGATCATTCAGTGAGCCCATTTCTTATTTTCTATAATCTATTTCTAAGTTGCTTATTCAGCAAAATTTGTTTCATAACACATACAACTCTCCAAAATTGTATGTTGCAAATTTACCAAATTTAACTTATTTTGAAGATTCAAAAATGTTATACATCATAATATTATGCATGTATGTTTTGTAAATCAATCAACAAAAATGAGTAAGTGGGTAACACTCCTCGGTTATATAATAGTTGCCTGGATACCAGAGAGTCACTGTAATGGATGTGTTAACGGGGCTGGATTGGTATATATCAGCCCATCGAGATTTTCCCTTCTAAGCGGCCCATTTACATATTCACTGTCCCAAAATTTGGGTCTCTATTATTTTTATTGGTTTATTACGTCTAAAATCGATACTAACTTATTTACTTATTCTAACATGTATTTATTTTCACCCACACTCTGACACTACCGGCCCTAACTTTAAGTGGCCCACCGAGATTTTCTCGGTAGCTCGCCTAACCCATCCGGCTCTGTGTGTTAAATATTAATTCATTAATCGTTGTATAAGAAATATGATTCTGAGCGAAAATCTTCGGTCAGCTTATAATATTACCAACTATTAAGTAAATTTAAGTACCTACATTTACTATTTTTTTAAGTAACTAAACCATTGTATGAAAATTTGTTAATTTTTTATTATTTAATGTCTAATTTCAAACGCTCATAAAAAATTTATTTGGCTTTCCAATTGGAATTTTATTTTGGTTAAATTTAGAATAAAGGGAAATTTAAAAACATTAGATATAATAAGAACAAATTTTATAAATTGTTATCTAAAATAATTATTAATTTTTCGTAATCTTCGTAATTTTTACGAACTTTGTAAAAATTATAAATTCGTTAGCTCATTAAAATTATAATGGACTTACTCTCAACTTTTTTAAATTTCCACTAACAATGTCTCACGAAGTTACGAGGAACCTTGTATTATATTTTAATAGTTTTTGACCGAGCAAAAAATTTTCATCGACATTAATTTTTAGAAAAAAAATTTCATTGAAATGTTGATATGAATATTATAATTCAACAAGTCAAAATATAAAAAATGGATGGTACATTGAATATGCAAAAATAAGMAGATCCTATATTAATTTATTTTAATAAGAATTACACAATTTTTTCGTGAAAACTCTTACGAAAATGTGTACCTATACAATTATTTATACATGCTATAAATATTTATTATTTATTAATTTGTATGCAATTTAGATCTGGAGTCCTCCTTTTTTAACTAGTATGCACACTTAAAATTTGAAGTTTTTAGAAGTAGGCTCCTAATTAATTACTAAACCGTTCTTATTTTGTAAAATTAGAAGTTACAAATTACAATAAAATAATACGCTTTTATAATATTATATAGATTTCTTGATACATCGTGATCAACTGGTTAGAAACCTCAAATTTAGAGAAACTACTTACAGATTTTAGTAAAACCATTTATATACTTCGCTTTTATAGGAGGTTTAAAATAAACCGAATAACTATTATGTTTATTATATAAATTGATATTAATGTTTTATATAACACAATTATTGCTTTGATAAAATTTATTAATTTATTAATATAGTATTAAAACTTATCTAATACACATTATATATTATTTACCATTTTAACTATAACTCATTAATAGTTTGATTTGTGATAACTATAAAATACACCAGTGGTAGGAAAACTATGGCCCCCGTGAGTCAAATTTAGCCTACGACTGTACTTAATGTGGCCCGTGATCTATAATTTTAAGTGGTGAAAAGATTAAACACGATACGATGAATATAATGTGTATGCCGTTTGTTCCAGATATAGGTTTTTATTTTTTGACTCGTTTAATAAATGCTGACAATCCCTGATATATAAATATGTAAATGTAAAATAAATAAAATAAAATAAATATAAATAATGTAAATACTGTAAAGTTATCTCGTTTAGGTTTCTCCATAGTCGGTTTTAATGTGGTTAAAATAATTTTGTATATGTTCCTGTTAATTGTCTATTTCTGCTATTACGCAGACTTAATAATCCATATTATATTTTATTTTATAATTTATCTTATTATAGTATTTTATCGTAAAAATGTCACTTAAGTAATTTGTCAACGTCATCATGAATCACGATGACTCAGTTCATGCACATCTATATCATTATACGTATATATGTTATATACAGCCATTATTATCATCTTGCAGAATGTACATTATGCCGATACCGACATTAGTAGACCTAGTATTCGTCGATGTGTTGTTATTACATAAAGGACTGTCTCCCATATTTATTTTGTATGAATATTTATCTTTTTATGTTCTTTCAAATTAATATTTTTATTACAAATTATAAATTAATTAAGCACAGGTTTAGAACCATTGCGTGTAATAAATGCATATTTTTTTCACAGGTAGTGCAGCATGATCCTTGTCGTGGTGGTGCCGGCCATTGGAACTGTCTATTTCGGTTTAAACACCTTGCTACCGGTCACTATCTAGCTGCTGAAATAGATGACGACGAAACTATGGATCAAATGCGATCAAAACTCAGAGGTACTTCAATTCGGTGAAAGACATAAGCGCCAAAATTAGATAAGAAAAAATAAAGTCGTATCGTACAAAAGCGCCAAAATCGTATCGTACGAAAGCGCCAAAATCCTAGGTACCTGTGTGCCACGGTTAATAGATGTTAAATAACAGATATTAAATTTAGAATTATATCGTTCAAAAACTCCAACGTTTAATCTTAATCATATCATCGACATTTAAAAGATCAATTTTATTTGGCTCATTGTTCCGTCCATATAGTAATTGATGTATTATTAAAATTACAAAGTGAAACATATTTATTTATGAATTCTACTCCTAACAATAAATTAAGGGTATCTCACGAAGAGTATATCTGTATAATTGTATATCATAATTTATTATTGACATTTTTTATAAAATCGCAACCGTTTTATTAAATTTATATTTATTTGCATGTGTATTGTATATCATAATTTATTATTGACATTTTTTATTATAAAATCGCAACCGTTTTATTAAATTTATATTTATTTGCATTTATATTATAATTTATTATTGACATTTTTTTTAACATAATATAATTATTTAAAAGAGCAATTTTTAAATATCTACTTACATAAAATTTTAATTTCGGCCCAAATTATTTGTAAKTTTTGCACCTTTGGCGCCTATTTCWCATGTTAGGTATACAATATTATATTGGCGCTTATGTCCTACACATTTTGGCACAAATGATAGGTTATTTTTGTACCTTTGGCGCTTCTGTCATATAGCCCTTCAATTTTGTTCATGTTTTCATTGGTTTATTTTTTAAGTATTTTATCTTCTCTGTTACAATTTATATATATAGATGTTCACGGCGGACCTGTTTATCATTTGGTGTCAGTACCGCATTCTAACGAAATATCTTCATTATTTGAACTTGACCCTACAACACTATATCAGGGCCGAAGTGGTCAAAGTAGGATGGCTGCACGACAATTACAATCTGGTAGCACTCCGGCATATGGTGGAACTCAAGTAATTTCAGGTTATGGTGGAGGTTACGGTAGTACAACAATGGCTGCAATTCAACATCATCAACCAGCCAATTTAGACTCAGTAGTGCCACAGTCCTCCTATGTTCGTCTCCATCATTTGTGTACTAATACGTGGGTCCACAGCACTTCGATTCCCATTGACAAGGATGAAGATAAGCCAGTCATGTCCAAAGTAACTAATGTTTTTTATTTACTTTTTTTTGTAATTACTATAATTAAAGATGTTTCACTTGAATAAAAAAAGGTTGGCTGTGCTCCAGTCAAGGATGACAAAGAAGCATTTGCCTTAATACCAGTATCGCCTTCTGAGGTGCGTGATTTGGACTTTGCTAATGATGCGTGTAAAGTGTTGGCGTGTAATAGCGCTAAGTTGTTAGAACATGGCTCTATATCAGCTAATGAAAGAAGGTAAGTTGTTTATTTTCAAATAGTTAATATTTAGAGGACGTCGCACCCGCATGTGTTGTCTCCGTCTTACATGCGTACGACATAAGAAATGTTCGTTTGCTAGTTTCAATCAGGTATTGTCAGTTTTGATATTGGAGTGAATCCATCTATTATCAAACTTTTAGGTAGCAACATTATCTGTGTTCTCTCGTTGGTTTTTTACGATGTTTTGATTTATAAGTGAGTTATGTGTATGTAAATTATGAATATTTTAAAATGTTCATAACTCACTTAAAAATTAAAATATCGTAAAAAACCAACAAGAGAACACAGATAATGTTGCTACCTAAAAGTTTGATAATAGGTGGATTCACTCTAATATCAAAACTGATAATACCCTATTGAAACTAGCAAACGATAATTTTCTAGGTCGTACGTGTGTAAGACGGAGACAACACATGCGGGTTAGACGTCCTCTTAACAGAAAATGTTGTTACTGTTATAACAATTTTTGCATATTTATTCCTCTCTTAAAATAAAGGGCTGTCACAACACTGCTTCAGGACATTGTGTACTTTGTGGCTGATATGGAAAATGAACAAAACAAATCAGAAGCATTAGAGTTGGTGGTAGCAAATCCAAACAGGTAGTTTTTTACTAATTTTTCTTATAAGTTACAACCTATGCTATTATTATAATAATTACTATCATAAATAGAGACCGCCAAAAATTGCTCCGTGAACAAGACATACTCAAGCAACTTTTCAAGATACTACAAGCTCCATTTGTCATGGATAATGTCATAAATTCTAATAATGGAGGAAACAATAGTGGAAGTGGTGGTGTTCGAGATGGTTGTGGTGGACCAGCTGCTGCTTCATTAATAACAGCAGCAGAACCTCCAGATGGAGATAATCAAAAATATGCAGCTGCATACAAATATATGTTCCGGTTATGTTATAGAATACTAAGACTTAGTCAGCATGATTATCGCAAAAATCAGGTATTGCCTACTTGCCTAATATACATAATGCATATTAATGATTATTTATTAAACTATGTTAGGTATTATTGATTTTTATACACCAAAAATTCGACAGAAACAATATTTTACAAAAATTATTTTAACCTGTTTAATTGAAAATTATAAATTTTACTTAAAAAAATTATATATGTATATGATTATATCATATTACCATATAGTTACTATACTATTAAATAAATGTTGTAATTAAAATAAAATTTACAGGAATACATAGCCAAACATTTTGGGTTCATGCAAAAACAAATAGGTCTTGACATTCTTGCCGAGGACACAATAACAGCGCTGTTACACAATAACCGAAAACTGCTAGAAAAACACATTACAGCTGCTGAAATTGAGACATTTGTTGGCCTAGTACGGTTAAAAAATGGTGGCGGAGGAGGATTCAGTCAGTCAGCACCCAGATTCCTCGATTACCTAAGTGATTTATGCATATCAAATAAGAAAGCCATCGCCATTACTCAAGAACTGATCTGTAAAAGTGTACTCTTAAGTGGTTCTCGAGATATTCTGATAGAAACCCGGTAAGTAGTTATCTTATTTTGTCTATATATTTAATAATGTAAGTGTGTTAATTTCTGTTTGATAAACATAATTTGTATTGTTTATTAATATTCTTCATACCAAAGAATGATGAAGAAATTGCTGCAGCGTAGCAAAAGTGGAACGGCTCCTCCATTGAATATCCATGAACTAACTGATATTGATTCTAACTTAAATGATGACCAAGTGGTCATGTTATCTTGGAATAATGGGAAGGTTGGTTCACTAATTTTTTTAAAACCACAAAAACTAGTGACAAATAATAATAATAGATTTATATAAATGAATATTTATATTAAAAACAGAATTCCAAATCGTTGGTTGACCTATCAGCAGAGGCCCGTCGCTGGCAACTGCAGCAATTACAGCATCTACACCAACACAACAAAGCTGGTGCAGCTGCAACAGCGGCATCAAAAAACTGCAATGGTTATGATGATTGGCATCTGCTTGAGTACTATCGACATCAATTGGACCTATTCTCAAATATGTGCCTAAACCGTCAATATCTAGCACTGAACAATCTTTCACCACATCTAGACATTGACTTGATTCTTAAGTGTGTATAATATTATTTAGTAAACCAACAGTTTATATAGTTTATTCCAGACAAAATTATATTAAAGGTAGTTAACATGTTGAGTGGGGCATGGATTGAACTGAACAACCCCCTATATAGAGCATTTTCTTTTTCGAAGAGGTTCCTTGTTAGTATTGACACATGTAAAGTGTGTCAATACTTTTACCAATGTTTTGCTTTTATATTTAAACAAAAAAACGACATTCAATATGTCGTTGAAATAATATTAAAAACAACAAATATTTAGCAGCCATTAGTACTTGAGCAGAAATAAAATAAATAATAATGAATAGTATATAAGCGTTCAACATAAATCCAAGATAAATGACATACAACTGAATATAATATTATTTACATTGTAAAAAATGAAGAAAATTATCAGTGTAGCTCCACATGAAGCCACCCATATCAAATAACTTATAATTATTTTATATATAATTAATTGGTTATCTTTATCACGAAAATCGACTATCTATAATCATAGATAATATTTAAGAAAATATAAATTAATATAAAATTACTTATAATAATTTGTTTGATAACAAGTACTAGTAGATAGTGATAAGTCAAAATGGTTACCTATTAGTTACTACTAGTAACAATGATTTAGATAGGGCATACACCAAAACTTTGGGAACGCAGCTCCATGGGTGCTTAGTATAGGGATGGCCTATCCATTATATATTATCTATATCTATAATAGAAAAAATTCCCTAAATTTCAGATCACGACAAAATAAATAATTTTAACCTCTTACCTGTACAGAGGATTAAGATAAAATAATCTTTTTGTAGGCTGGTATTATTGGGAACGATAAAAAAAATAATGAACAAGTAGTCGACGATAAGTCGACTCGGCCATAAAGAACAAAATATACAATTTGTCGACATCATGTTGTCAGTACTCAACTTGTTAAGCTTAAAAAATAATTATATATATTTTATTATTTGTTCGGAGGATGTCAACTTGTCATTACATAATTTATTTTCTTTCTCTGACCTATAGCAGTATACTAAATTTTCATACAACAGAACTATGTTGTGACATTCAGTATTATAATCAATTTACTTATCAAACTTTAATATAAGAATATTATCTGTGTTGTTACGTTAGCTATTTTATGATATTTTAATTGTTTTTGGTTTTTCATGAGCGTGTTACTATTTAAAAATGCTTTTAGGTGTATTTTCTTTAATATTAAAAGTAATAACACAGAGTTTATTCTGCTAAATGTAAATGTGCTATATTGCGTGTAAGTTAAAGAAGAAAACAAATAATGAGTTGAAATCCTCTTAATGTAGCATGAACAAAGATTAAACTTAACTGTAAAAAATAATAGTCACTTAGTTAGTATTTAACCATTAAACATTTTCTTCAAGGATATAGGACTAAAAAAAAAGTATTGCATACACATTTTGTTAAATTATAATTAATTTTTAAGATGTTAATGATATGGACATAATTATATTATATATAATTAATTATTATAATTTTATAATATTTATTTTTACTAATAATTAAACAATTTATACATTTATACTTAATTAAATTTTAATATTGTCTGTTTAATGTTTTTTATTTACAATTTCTTAAATCTGCATACATTATTGATTATAACCAAAAAATAATTTTTAATGTGAAAATTGTATGACTCATTCTGAATTTTTTTTATTCATTTAATGCCACTATTAGCTATTAGTTTACAAAGTTTATTTCAGTTTAAAATATTGTTTCCATATAAGTTTATTTTTTATTATAATGTTATACTTTTATATTTTTCACATAATAATGAACAGTGAGTACATTGAATTATATTTATTATTTTTACATTAACAGGTGCATGGCTGATGAGAACGTCCGTTATGATTTACGTGCTTCATTTTGTCGGCTCATGTTGCACTTGCATGTAGATCGTGACCCTCAGGAACCTGTCACTCCTGTCAAATATGCCCGATTGTGGTCTGAAATTCCATTGAAAATAAGCATTGACGAGTAAGAAATTTATAATGATTTTATCATGTATAATGATTAAATATAACAAGTATTGTACAATTGTCACAGCTATGATAACAATAGACGATTAAACAATGATACAGCCGCTGCTCAACAAGTTCGCACCAGATTCAGCTCTACCATAGCATTTGTGGAGGACTATTTGTTCAACGTAGTTGCAAAAATGTGGAATTTCCAAGATGCTCAACAAAATAAATTAACTTTTGAGGTTAACTTTTTTATATCTATTAAATATTATTTAAGTTGATATTTATTCGTATAGCGAATTTCAGGTGTTCAATGTTATAAATTAATATAACTGATGGTTTAACATCTTTAAGCACTTCCCCTCCCCTCCCCACCAAAAAAATTTTTTTTTTAAATGGGTCTAGAGTTAATTGCTAAATCGATGTCTCGAAATAGTGTAATAGAAGTTCCTCGTGCAATCGTTCAACTCAGTAGCCCAATTATATGTAGCCATGGTAACATGATATGATTGATATGTTTAATGTAAATATCACATGATATTTTATTATTATTATTAATCATTGTAATTTATCATAAAACACTTAAATATTATTACTATATATATTTCATAAATTATAATATTTCACCTAAGTATTTATTTATATATATATATATATATATGTATTTACTTCACATAAGTAACCTACATTTTATTAAGCTTAAGTCGTCAGATTTATGTTAACACATCAAAATTAAGCGTCAGTTATAAAATTTGACTCATACTTTTTTATATTATATCTTTATTAGAGAGTTATTTCTCTGTTTATTAATAAAATCTTATTGTCTGTCATCATAATATAACAAAAATCCAACAAAAATTACAAAGAAAAAAGATTGATTAATATAGGCAATTTAGATTACACTATAACAGATAAAATTAAAAATAATAGTTATTATATTTTTTTCAAATTTCCTAACAATTAAAATGTAATCATTTTTTTTTCAAACATTTAAAGATTAAAGTTTAAATATTTCACAATTAATGTCTGGGATTAATTTGAATTGGTATAAGGCACATGGCTATTTTGGGATATTTTAAAAACATAATTTTCAAATATTTTTTTGTCTAACTGTTTTTAATAGTTAATAAGCGTTTTGAGGTATTAGATTAATTCATTTATTTGATGATTTAAAATGATTTTTGTGTGTATACAGGTTGTCAAGTTGGCTAGAGACTTGATTTATTTTGGTTTCTACAGTTTTGGTGATTTGCTTCGACTTACAAAAACACTATTGAGCATTTTAGATTGCGTGTCAGAAAATGACTTTGCGGCTGTTGGTCGTGGCAATGGAAGTGATATTGTTAACAGTGTTTCAGCAGCAGTAGCCGCTACAACAACAACATCGACAACATCGGCAGATGTGCAAGGTAAGGAACAATTCAATTATTAGCTTCATAGCTGCTGTTATTACATCTTTATCTAAACAAAACACGACTCCATAAAAAAATCTATCATAAAAGTTTATAATTAGGTGTCTTGTAAACTTTTATACAGCTGAAGGAATTGGTGCTATGAGATCAGCTATTGGAGACGTTGGCGCCGTAGTTACTGGACTCACACTTGGTGGAAGTAGTGGTCGCAGGCATCCCCCGCCGCTGTTAAATAAATCAAAATCCACATTGAGTATGGTTACCACTGCTACAACGGGTTCATCGTCTTCATCACTACTACATCAGCAGACTGGTGGCAGTGGTTCAACGATTGTGAGTGGTGAGGCATATCCTCTGGTCATGGACACAAAGTTGAAAATTATAGAAATATTACAGGTCAGTGAACTGTGTATTCTGACAAAAAATATTAATGTGCTAACTATTATTGCTATAATTGTGTGATTTATTTTGTAACTTGAATTATATGCTTCATATCAAATTATGTTTATTGTGGTTATAAAATTACTTATGTTGTGTTCTCAGTTTATATTAGATGTCCGCCTAGATTACCGTATTGGATGTTTGCTGTCAATTTTCAAACGGGAATTTGATGAAATTGAAAGGTCTGCGGTAGCTGCTGCAGCATCTATTTCAAGCCTATCGCAGCAGACAACGGGTACGGGGTCACCAACAAGTTCTACCAATCCTACAACAGCATCTTCCACAACATCTTCATCGTCTGTGTCTTCATCAGCATTTATTGATCATCACTACCATAAGTCAATTGATTTGGAACGGGTTGCTGCTCAAGCTGAAGGAATATTTGGTGAAAGGTATTTTAATTTATGACTTATTCAATTGTGTCCTGGAGTTTTTGGTTTGGTACTTTTGAGTAGTGGTTTTTTATTTTTTTTATTGTTCCTTAACCCATAACTAACTATGACTAACTGTGTATATGTGTGTGTGATTAATTTAACAATAGCGAAGAGTGTGGTGGTGCCGCTTTGGACCTAGACGACAACGGCGGCCGAATGTTTTTGCGCGTGCTCCTTCACTTGACCATGCATGATTACCCTGCCTTAGTCTCAGGAGCATTACACCTGTTGTTCCGGCATTTTAGCCAACGACAAGAAGTGTTACAAGCATTCAAACAGGTATTTTTTTTAAATGATGATTTCACTATCAAAAACTCAAAATTTCTGATCAATTTAGTTTTTTGCGCTGATTATAAGTTACAACGAAATACAATACATATTATAAAAATGTCAAATATCTTATATTAGTATTGTATGTATTATATAGGTATTATATTAGCATGATATAATTTATTATAATATTATATTTATACTAGATTATAAGTTAGTATTTATTACTGACTGTTCTTCATTTTTCCTAACAGGTTCAACTTCTGGTGTCGGACGCTGACGTTGAATCATATAAACAGATAAAATCAGATCTAGATGTACTACGGCAAAGTGTTGAGAAATCTGAATTATGGGTTTACAAGTCAAATAAATCGACTGCAGCTACAGTAGCTGCTGGAGGTAGCCAACAATTAAATAATAGCAATGATGAACATCAACAACAAACATCTGAATTTACTACCCAAATGCCTATGTTGAATGCAGATTCTACCACTCCAGTAGTTTCATCGTCATCTGTAAATGGCAACAAATCTATACCATCACAATCTACAGTAGTGGAAGGTACCCATGTGACTCAACCTACAAATATTACTGAAAAAGGATCCTTTGATATTTTTGTATCAGATGGTAGCGGTGGTGGTGGTGAAGAAGAATTTGAAGATGATGAATATAAAAAAATACAAAAGGTAACAGTTTTCAGTGATGTAGGTATTGATCATTGATCATGATTATCTTTTTACGTATTCGTCCCTACTTACTTTGCAGCCAATGCTGCCCTGCCCACCCTTATGAAGCGTTACTATTTGAAACTTATCTTTTGTTTCAAATTAAACTTTTTTATTTTCATAAATTAAAATAACTTTCCAAATTTTTTAAAAATACATAAAAACAACTATTATTAAGCATTTTAAATACATTTTTGTAAACCTTAAAATATTATAATATATTGCTCTTTGATACTTCAATGATTTCCCACTAATATTTCAAAAATAATAATTTGGATAAGTTTAATCCAAATTAACATGGTGAAACAAGCATCTATAATGTAAAAATAAGTATAATAAAATTAATACTTATGCAATAGGTAAATCGGCAGTTTTTGTTTTTAATGAATGAAATTTTGATTTTATGCTTTATAGATTCTGATTCGGATGAATGAACTGTGCGTTACTCGTGTACCTTTATCAGTGGGTATTGGGTTACAATCATCATCTTCTAGATCAAATTTATCCATTGGAACTCCAACCAGCATAGCCACAACATCAGTAATGAAAAAACCTAAAAAGCATGAACAACGACTACTACGCAATGTAGGGGTGCATACAGTAGTGTTGGACCTTCTACAGGTGCCGTACGATCGAAAAGGAGACCGGCGTATGGATGGTCTGATGGAACTGGCTCATGAGTTTCTCCAATCGTTTTGCCTGGGTAACCCACAAAACCAGCATTTGCTGCATGCACACTTAGACCTGTTTCTAAACCCTGAGGTATACTAATGGTTAAAAAAAAGTAACTTAATGTTACTAAATAAATTAATAATGAATCCTATTACTGTATTGTATCATTAGATTCGGGACGCACGTACTGTTTGTGCTATATTTAAAGATAATCCGGTGTTGTGTAATGAGATTGGCGGCGGCGGTGGTGATAAAGTTGTCCAACATTTTATACATTGTATTGAATCGCAGGGAAAACGGGTCGAGTACTTGGAGTTTTTCCAGACAATAGTAGGCTGTTGTTCGCCTGCACCGGGATCCTCCTCGGTGTCGGATGTCTCAGTACAGGAACCTGAAAATTATTACTATGGTAGTGGTGGCATGAAGCAGCGTCATGGTGCAGCTGCAGCTGCAGCCGCTGCCATACAGAAGCAGCAGTTTATCAGGAAGTCACAGGACATGGTTATGCAAGAAGTAAGTTTGTATTAGAATTACAATAATATTATAATTTATGAACTATTATTATCATTGTTTAATTTTGGAAAGTGATAAAAGACAAATATTTGCTACACTTACAATATATATATTACTTTTACTATAACCATACATAAAATGTAATTAATTTTTAATATTTAATTAGCTGCTTAATGCTGGTGAGGACGTGCTGGTATTTTATAATGACAACAAGGCATCGTTCCAACAGTTCGTGGAAATGATGCGAAAAGAGCGTGATAGACAGTACCGAGAAGACGTGCAAATGCTAGTTTTAACAGCAGTAGATTGTAGAAGAGGCTCATCTGATAAACAACAGGAGACCAACCAAAATGTACTTAAGTCAACTACAGATATTGGGGAATCAGTACCTACAGAAGACTGTTCTCTGCAAGAAGGAGTGACGACAGCTGAAGAATCGGAATATGAAGACAATAATGATCATAATGCTCTGAGGTTTGTTTGTTTAACTGTTCTTTTAATGTTTTGTATACATTACTTATTACTAATGTCATTCAAAAAATTGTGATTATCATCACTACATTTTATACATAATAAGGAAAATAATATAAACAGTTTGTATGTTGTCTTTACAGATACCATGTTGAGTTGGTTAAACTTTTAGCTTATTGCACTATGGGTAAAAATGTGTACACAGAAATCAAATGTCACAGTCTATTACCATTGGATGATATTGTCGCGATGGTGTCACATCCAGACTGTATACCAGAGGTAATTGAAGATTTTCAATCATACTTCAGTTGTGATCTTGATTTTAGTTTTTTCGAGCTCATTAATTATATCTACAAATTGTTATGAAATAGGTGAAAGAGGCGTATGTCAACTTTTTGAATCATTGTTATGTGGATACCGAAGTTGAGATGAAAGAAATCTATGCATCCAACCACATGTGGACAGTATTTGAAAAGAGTTTCTTGCCTGACATGAACCGTGTAGCAGACCAAGTGGCTGCTGCGGCTATAACTACCTCGCCACCGACCATCGCTAGCGTTACCCGTACCAAATCACATTGCAAGCTGGTAAAATATGTTTGCGACGCTCTAATCACTGTTATTGGTTCGTTTTTCGGTAGTCCATTTTCATCGACAGCTGCAGCAGCTACTGCAGCATCAGCTGTATCAACTGCTTCATCACCAGATCATCATCACCACCATCGACTGCAAACTGGTGCTGATGATAATGGCAGTGGTTCCTCGTCGGCCGTAATAGCATCTGCCTCCAACGCTAATGCTGCCTCTGTTGTACAAGTAATATTTTACTTATTCATTTTTTGCTATATAAGTGACAATTTTCTGAATATTAATTGAATATTTGTTCGATTGTCTTTACAGTCTAGGCAGCCGATATTTGTTCAACTCTTACAAGCCGCAGTCCGCTTACATCAGCAACTGACTGCTGCTGGCCATTTGACTATTCAACAGCGATTCAATGTAGAAAACACAATACGTACGCTTTCAGATTACGGTGAGTTACATTTGGAATTCCATCCATTATAAATTATTCATATACTCAACTAATAATTATTTTAGTTTACTGTATTTTAAATCATAAACAATGCAAACACTTTTTAAAGTTTTGATTTTTATTTGAACAGCCAAAAATATGTCAATTGACTTGCCTGCACAATTGCAGACTCAAATTAATGGTATATTCAATAAGCAATCACAGACCTCTGCCAGTGGAGGTGTGTCAGGTGGAAATTCATCACCATCTGCGCTATTGCTCCGAAGACAAACAACTAAATGGTTACAAGCGGCAAAGTCAACACCCAAAAAGATGATTGAAAGATCACAATCACAAGTATAACATATATATGTTACTTCTAATGATTTCTTACTTGTCATCATAATTTTTAAAATTTATTTATATGTTCTAGTTGATCAGATTAGATAAAAGCATAGTTGAGGGGCTACAAGACATAGTTCTAGTATTAGAAGATCAACTCAGACCATTGGTCCAAGCTGAGCTCTCACTACTTGTTGATATACTCTATCGCCCGGAACTTTTATTTCCTAATGTGGCTGCAGCTGCTGCTGTTGGTGATACAGCTTCAGTAGCAGTAGCTGCCGCAGCGTGTGGTGTAACTGGTTTCATCAACAGGTATTACAGATTACACATCCCATATTTTGTTCTTTGCCACGTTCTGTATTTTTTTTTTTCTGCACTACAATTCTTTTTGTGTTATATTTATCTTATTTCCATACTAATTATTTTTTCCCTAGACTCATTAAACATACCGAACAATTGTTAGAAGAAAAAGAAGATAAATTATGTGTTAAAATTTTGAAAACATTACAAGAAATGATGGCTATAGATTTGGATTACGGTGACAAGGTATGACGCTACTAAGTTTTGTATTTATCACTACAACCTAATTCTCACATCACCATAATATATATCCTTTTTTTTTTTACACATATAATTACATAATGTAAATGTAATTCCATATTACTTAAATGTATTAGTTTAAAATAGTTGTGATTCTTCTACTTTTAGTTATACTGTTGCAAGTATACATAACATTTCCAATTAATAATTTATATCATTAAGTAACAGTTGTAACACTTAAATGTTCTACATGCTAACACATTAATAATTTAAAATCCAGTGCCTACCTAAAGATAATTATTAAAAATACATAAGAATATGGAATTTTAGACAAAGTAAACAATGGAACTGAAAATTATCCTAATTTTGCTCAAAAAAAGGTCATTTTTACAAAAAAAAAAAATGTTTGCCTTTTGTTATCTATAACATTGTTGTTGATTACAGGGTGATGCACTGAGACAAAGCTTGCTAGTTAGGTACTTTAATAACGGCACAGGCTTGATGGGTATGGATAGTTCAAATGATAGTGGAATAGACGCTTCTGATCTTGATGGCAACAATGGCAATGCTACTGATGATGATGAACATAATGATGAAAACGCTTCTACGACTTCTGGCAGCCGCCTCATAGGTTCCACTGCTACAGGAGATTCTTCAACAAAAACGGTGACTGCTAATCATCAGCAACATTTACCTCCACCACCATCAACAACTTCATGGTCGCCTCCGCCCCCAATATCATTTAGACCTGAACAGCAACAACAACAACACAGAGTCACTCATGGACCGGGTGGTGAATAATTATTATCTTTCTAAAACTGAATATAAGATCTTCACTCACCGACACAAAAAATAAATATAATGATAGTCATAGTGGTCTTTAAACTTTATAACTTAGGAGTTAGGACTCACTTTTCTTACCATACCTTTTCGCGACCCATGTTAGCTTTGTTAGTCAAATAAAAATGTTATTAGCGTTAGAGAGGGAATATTTTTTAATTGTTGCTATTTTTTCATTTTTCATTTCCGTTAGTAGCAGCAAGTAAAATTACTATTCAAAAAATGTATACAAAAATTTTTTGTCCAGTGTTATATTATTATTATTATTTTTTTTTTTTTTTTTTTTTGTCACGGCATTTATGATTTAAGACCTACATAATAATACTATAATATATATATATACTATATAAATAAGGAATTTTTTTAATTTTTAACAGGGCTTATCGTGACCCAAAATCAAGTCGCAACCCACCGTTTAAAGACCACTGTGATGTACAATAAGATGGGTTATATTAAGGCGCGTACACACGAGCGAACAAAAGTAGCGAATGCTCACGCACGTGCGCGTGCGACTAATCATGCGAGCGTGTAGACGACGTTCACGAACATTCGGAAGTATTCGTCAGCGTTCGCCGAATAGGTCGAACAGAAACGCATGGCGAGTCGATCACTGTCGGTATTTTTGTCATGCTCAAAAGAATACCGCTAGCACTTAATTTTTGTCCACATGAACAAACAGAATTCATCCGAATGCTCATGTGTGCTCCTTCGCGTTCGAGTGAGCTCACTTCGAACGTCACACAATATTCGATCGTGTTTACGCGCCTTTATATTACCTGCTTGTGTGTCAGAAGTGTTATAAGACATATTCCTTAAAAGGAAATCTGTTCAAAATAAGTACGAAAAAAATTTCCTTCATTCGAAAAATATGGGCTATTGGTTTTATTGTAGAAACACCTATAAATAAAATTGAAAAAGATATTAATCTGGTTCCGTAAAAACCTGATTTTTGATTTTTTAAATTTTAAGTCCTAAAAATAACTCAGAAAATTAAAAAAAAAGCAATCATGATTAAACGTGAAATATTATACAAAATTTTACAGATATCAAAATCGGGCTTCTCACAAAACCAGATATGAATCTCCTCTAAAATTGTATTCATAGGTGTTTTTTAAATAAAACCACTCAGTAACCCATATTCTTTGAACGTGCAAAGTATATGTTTTATAAGAACATCGTAGAAAATGACGGTCTGCCGCGAAGCCTGTCCAAGGCTATAATATATGGTTAACAACGCTATCTCTTGAGCGTTGTATGCCTACATGTTTCCATGAGACGTCATCTTAATATGTTGTATATTCTAATGACAGCACCACCTCATTATAACAAGTTGTCTTTTATATATATTTGCAGCAAAATTCTTGCAGCGTGCTGGGCTTACTTTACACGAAGTACAAACCCATCTGGACAGAGAAGGGGCGTCGGATTTGGTCGTTGAACTTATTATAAAATCAGCTGCAGCTTCAGCAGCCGCGGCATCAATGTCCAGCGGTAGTGGTAGTGGTGGTGGTGCCGTCGGTGGATTTTTTGGTTCAATTGGCATCGGTGGCGTTGGTGGTAATTTTTTTGGCAACAATTATTACTTCGGTAGTGGTGCAGGAGCGAGTGGTTTTGGACCATCGGCATCGGCCGCAGCAGCAGCTCTCTCCGCGTCCCCCTCTTACTCAATATTTGTCGAAGCTGTGCAGCTGGGCGTTGCTCTGTTGGAAGGTGGCAACCCCGTTGTTCAGCGTAGTGTTTACAACAAACTATTGTCGCCATTACCRCCAGGTACCGCCGCTGCCGCTGCGGCTGCAGCTTCAGCCGGTGGTGGTGCTGGTGGTGGAAGAAGTGGTGGTGCAAGTCCGACTGACCCATCAGTGAACTGCTGCCAACTATTTTTCCGAGTATTTTATGACAAAATGCGTGACGCCCAAAACGAAATCAAGTCAACGGTTATAGTATCGGTAAATACAGCTGCTACGACAGCCGCAGCTCAGGCAGCCCAACAGCAACAGCAAGAAGCTGAAATGGCTGCAGGTGGACGACGGATGCCAGTTTCCAGTAGTCAACAAAACCATGGTGGTCAGCGACGACAAAATAACCGTTTTGATCGTAGTTCCGGAAAGAAAGGTACCTAATAGTTTTAATATAACATCAGTGGCTTATTATTTCGGGTGCTGAAGCCAACACGTTTGGACACTGAATAAAAGGCATTTCATAATTTTACTGGTAAATCAGAGAATGTTTAGATAAATATATACCAGACACGTTTTAGTTACCCATCATATTTATCATATTAGCTACAACTTTARTCAACTTTATCTTCAAACTAATATCAATCATAGTATTTTGATTATCATAGTATACGTAACTATGAATATGTACGTAATACACTTACTATCATYGAATATAAATTTTATTATACCTATATCAATATAACTGCAGTGCAAATAATTTAATTCATCTAATCTCTTAGTATCTCAGTTAGGTTATTTTTTCTAAATTTAACTGTACAAATCATGAATATAACTGAAGTTCTTAAAAAAATAAATATATTCCCTAAACGTATTGTTCCCAAACGACGTATTCATTTTTGGTGACGTCCGAAAAAATGTGTGCCTGCAAAACAACTAAACGYGTGTGATGTGTTTCAAATAATATTCTCTCATTTTCCATATAAAAATATTATTTTGTGTCCAAACGTGGTTAAATAATGTTTCTGATTGTTTTGATCTTGCCCTCCTCCCAACCCCCTCCCATTGGGTATCGTAACCATCAAACTTAGTACAACGATGATGTGTTATAGATATGTGATTTATATTGTTTATATTTATATTTTCATAGTTGTAAAATGGTAAATTCGTTTTTGATACGTTTAGGTAAAACTACAACACGATCTAGAGGTGTTGGTGGGACGCGTCGAATTTTAATGACGGATGAGCTGCGTGAAGAACTAACGCAAGCTGCAGCAGCCACTAGCCACGCGTACGCTGTTGGAGCTCGAAATTTATCAGTTTCGTCTTCAATGAATTCTGTCACTGGTATTTTAAATAATCATTTTATTTTTAACATAATAAAAACTTTTTTAGGTTAATTTCCCTGTAATTGCTAAACCCCGCGTCTCTCATCACTGCTGGTACGTCGTCATGATGACGCACTGTTTGACTCTACAGGAAACCGTACCTATATATATATATATAGTATCACCTAGAACACAATATCACGTGTTTTTAAATTACTTTAATTTTAGATTATGTTAAGTGTACTATAAAATTATATTTCATGAAAGTTAGTTTAGCTAGGTAACATTAAAAATGTTTAATTTATATTTAATAATTAATTTTACCTTTATCGTTAAAAAATTTCACTGAAAAGTTATTTTATAGTAATGAGATATTTTTTATTTTTTTWAATTAATTAATTTAATTTTTATATTTATGTTAGGATAACACAATATCTCCGCTCATAATCGTTTTTCGTATACAATGATTTATTATTGAATTGAATTTTAACACATCCATTCCCATAACATATTTGACGGTTACAATTATACAGCAGATCAGTGCCCAATTGTCCGCCTTTTTACGAACAATTCCATATATTTTAGCATGAAAAGTAACTCATTATGTCATATCAAACTATTAATTCATTATACACAGGTGAACGAGACAACGATGATGACGATGAAAGTCACTTATCATCGATAGYTGATGATGGTAACGGTACTGCAGCTGATAGACTTCAGCGAGCTGATGATTCGTACTACTACTATTACCATAGACAGCAGGAACAGCAGCAGCAATACTTACAGCAACAACAGCAACAACAGCAACAACTATTGTCGCCTAAAATCCTGATCATGCAACCTATTCTACGTTTCTTACAACTTTTATGTGAAAATCACAACCGTGATCTACAGGTTAGATTCGTCAGATTTATTGTGTTTGATTGATTTTTCACATTTGATTTTTTTTACATTATTTCCTCTTTATATTATCAAAATCAACAAAAAAATTCTCTCTATTTTTATATCAGAAATAATCAACATAAATAACTGAGTTATTGGTAACAAACTAATTGTAGATGTACTATATTTTTTTTATAGCTTCCTACCAACTATAAAAACTACTTTGAATAATAAAAATATATATATAATCTTTAGTGGAACTATCTCTTAACACCACACTAGTTGAATTTAGCTCCTAAAAATGTAACTATTGGCGATATTGTTAACCGTGCTATCGTGATTTGAACCAATCGTTGTATTTTGCAGAACTTGCTTCGAAATCAAAACAACAAAGTCAATTATAATCTGGTATCCGAAACTTTGATGTTTTTGGACTGCATATGTGGTTCGACAACGGGTGGCTTAGGCTTATTAGGCCTATACATCAACGAAAACAATGTGTCGCTCATTAATCAAACACTGGAAACACTTACAGAATACTGCCAGGTTAGTTTTTTCAGTTCTTTATCTGCCATGCTATGCAACTAAYACATGACTTAACTAATAATAGTACTTTGTATATTTATCAATAAATGTATGCAATATTAATTACATTGAATTTAGGGACCCTGCCACGACAATCAAAATTGTATCGCTACGCATGAATCCAATGGTTTGGATATAATCACGGCACTTATACTGAACGACATAAATCCATTGGGCAAAACGCGCATGGACCTAGTACTGGAGCTGAAAAATAATGCGTCTAAATTGTTGTTGGCCATCATGGAGAGCCGAGGGGACGGTGAAAACGCCGAGCGCATTCTTTACAATATGAACCCTAAGCAGCTGGTAATATTTATATGGAAACTTAATATTTTCCAATCATAAATTCATATTATGCCAATAGTGTTAGATACATTATGAGCAACAAGTGAATACTTACCACATTGTTGCACAGCCTTAGTCATGTAGCATGTTATCTTTAAGTTTCTTCGAGTTATTACTTTTTCTTTATAGGTGGATGTGGCATGTCGAGCGTACTATCAACAACAATACGACGTGACGGYTTCGTCAGCGCGCCGACGACGTCGAGGTGGTAGGCTAGCGTATGGCATCGACGATGATTATTTTGACGATGTTGATGATGACGATGATGAAGATGAAGAAGACGACGATGGCCAAGAAGACTGTGATGAAGAAGACTACCATTTTGAAGATATACGAATTGGCAAGGGGGCATCTATCGGYAGTGGCCGTAGTCGTAATACCGGTGGCACAGGAGGTATAGACGGCGTCTCTGACGACGATGATGACGAAGATAGCGGTGTGTCGCCAAAAGAAGTACGAATTAAACACTAGTTTACCAATAACGTATACAATTTTTAACGTAAATCTTTAATATTMTATATTATATATAATATCTAACTTTTTTATGTTATACATGCAAGTATAGGCATAAACGAGTTAATAAGTTAAAGTTATAACTTAACTTTTTAACGTAAATTATTTTAATTTATATAAGCTTGATAAATGACAAGTTACTTTTAATCAAAGTCAAATTACGCTAATTTATAAATAGTAAATATAATGCAATTATATAAACAATTATATTACATAAACATCTATTAAAATAGGAAATTAAAAATTTAACTCAATTTAATTCTTGTTCCATTTAGAGGAATCATATAGACATACAACGCTAAAAATATAGCATTTTTATCCATATAGCCTCCATCATGGCAGGTCGTAATTTACTACGATTTTCTTATAGAACATACTTTACGTGATCAAAGAATATGGGCTGCTGAGTGGTATTATTGTAAAAACGCCAATGAACAAAACTGTCGAGGAGATTCATGTTCCGTGAGAAACCCAATTTTTAATATTTGTAAAACTTCGTTTAATATTTTATGTTTAATTACGTCAGTTTTCTTAGCTTTTTCGAGAGTTATTTTTAGGACTTTAATTTAAAAAATCAAATATCGGGTTTCTTACAGATCCATATTCTTTGAACACGCAAACGTATTTTTAAATGAAAATTTTCGCGTATTTAATTTAATGAGACTTCAACTTAACCAGAATTCTTAAAAAACGACGATACTGCGAAATAAAAATAAAATACTCCGACATACAGACATATTGTAGTTATTAAAATAATAATAACTAATAAGTAGAGGTCAGATTTATATTCTCTTAAAATCCTTAAAATATGATATTTTTATGTCGCATAAATTAGGCAATATATTCTYTTAATATTCTTTTAAAATACCAGATATATGATGTTTTATGTATTTAAATATGCAAAATATTCTTTTAATATTAAAAAGAAAAACCAGTTTAAACTTATTTTAAATTTGTTTTAGCTAACGAAATAACYTATGTGCTATCGCAATCGATAAGGTTATAATACCTGTAGATTAATTTTTATTAAAACCMAGAAATTAATTATTTATAAACAGAATTATTTAGTGAACATTATACCTATCAAAGTGCTGATATACGTGATATATATTCATTATATGCCGATATTACAAAAATATTCTCAAATATTCTCTAATCCATAAAATATGCTTTTTTATGCAAAATAAATCTTTTCCTATGATTTCTGTGTTTCATGAATCGTAAAGATTTCTCACTCCCATTTAACTGCATAGACTAGAAACAAATATTTAAAATCATAAAAATCCGACCTCTACTAATAAATAATATGATATATTGATATAGATTCATATCATTAATTTCAAATGTACAATCCTCAAAAACATAATATAAAATATTTTCACCATAAATAAATTATTATTTATATTAGTTATTATTTTATCAAGTTTATATATTTAAATCAATTGGGTTATGCTCATATATATTTACATTTCAAATATTTATACTTATAAACATCCAATGTTGCCAGTAGACAAAATAGTCATTGCCCACATGAGTTCACTTTTCGTTCTCGGCTCCCTCGGTGCTCAAGAATTACAATATAGAATATAGAGTATTTTGTTTCAGTTTTTGACTTTTTGTGTAATTTTAATTTGGTTATCAGTGTCCAATGAAGTACATTTATTTTTTGGATTTAATTCCACKTGTAGAAAATCTATTGCCTGTTTCCTGTGTTCAATAATAATTAATATTTATGGTTTTTATTATTTTAAACCATATTACTGGGTATTTACATAGATATTTTTTTTTAATAGATATAATAACTTAAATTAAGTTAATAAGTTAACTGAAATGTCCATTTAATTTTAGTTAGGTTAAAAATTTAAAAATTTTCAGTAACTTGTCTAGGTTTATATACATGTATAATATGAGTACACTACTATATCTTATATGGTGTATATACATTTTTATATAATTTTTAAGAGTGAATTTATTTTTACAAAATTTAATATTATTTTATGCACATTTAGGTGGGCCACAACATTTATATATTGTGCCACCAGTTAGCACAGCATAATAAAGAGTTGGCTGGTTTGCTAAAACCCAATAGTTTGTACTGTAGTGAAGTCGAAGGCGTTCAAGCAACAGCTGGACAAAATCAACAGCAGCAGCAGCAGCAGCAACAACAGCTACTACAACAACAAAACCAAGTCGATCCTCGAGTTAACCGAGCCCTAGTTTATTATGCGTCGCATACTGCTCAAATAGAGGTATAGTAAATTGATTAAGTCATATTATGAGAATTTAATGTAGTGTGAAATTCATGAAATTAAGTTGTTTTAGAAATCCTGTCATTAAGTAGTTCAAAAAGCGTCAATCTATAGTAGTAGTGGCCTTCATCGTGTAGATTTAAAAACATTTTTTTTTTTTTCGCAGATTGTCAGGCATGATAGAACACTTGAACAAATTGTGTTTCCTATACCAGAGATTTGTGAATACTTGACCCATGACACTAAAGTCAAGATCTATAATACAGCTGAACGTGATGATCAGGGATCAAAAGTTTCTGACTTTTTCGAGAAGACGGACGATATGTTCAACGAGATGATGTGGCAAAAGAAGCTGAGAGGTAATTAATCAAATACAAGTATTAGTAGTAAAACTAATATGAAATATTAACTTTTTTTGTAGCACGGTCATCATTGTTTTGGGTTAGCAGCTTCATGTCCTTGTGGAGCAATATTTTGTTTAATTGTGCTGTGATCATCAATCTTATCGTGGCATTTTTCTATCCATTTGACAATGGTGGTAGTGGTAGTAGTAGTAACAATGTTGACGATGGGCAACGCCGTCGTATGATATCTGGTAAGTCAAGTGTTCAATTGATAAGATATCAACAATGCTGAATAATAATAAAGATAATTTGCAATTTGTTCTTACATCATATGTTAAGGCCGAAAGATTAAAAGTCAAATATAGTAGGTATATATGTTTTCTGGTGAACCAAAATCGAAAACCATGAGTTTTTAATCTTTCTAATAAATAATTATAYGAGTATAACGTTTGATTGTTTTGTGTTGTAAATTACTACTTATAATGCTGCAGCTTTGGGTGGACATGTTTCGGCAGCCGTGTGGCTTGGATTACTGGCTTCAATCTTCGCAGCTGCGTTTTTGATATGGGCTCGAGACGATTATAATTCTGATGACGTTGACGATGTTGAAGACGACGACGATGAAGACGAAGATAATGGCGCTGGAGATGACAGAGACCAACAACAACAGCGAAAAACTACTCGCCGTCGTCGACAGCAGCGGCGCCGTAGACGTAGGCGTACWTTGTTGACTACCAGGACAAGTCGACGAAGGTGGACGGCTGCAGTTCGCACCACTCTGGTAGTCACTGCCATCCTCCGGCTGATATTGTCTGTTGGCCCAGAACCCACTCTTTGGCTATTGGGTGCGATCACGGTATGTTTTGTACTTTCCACATCACCCCTGTTGCTTAAATAATTTAGATTATTACAGAGCATATCTGGTGTTGATTTTATTAATCATTGATGCAGGGCTATAGCTAGGAAATTTCTATGAGGAAGGTCGAGTTCCATAGACATGAAATTTATAAAGGTTATTAATGTTATCACTATAGGAAATTATATTGAGTAAAACATATGAATTGTTATATTTTYGTGATAACACCAAATCAATTTTTCTCGGCTTCTTAGGCATTTTATTCAATACTTCATCTAGTGTGCAGACGATATTTCGGTAATTATTCAATAGTACCAATCCATTGAGATGATCCTGTTTCACTAATAATTCAATAAATAAAATGAAATCAGAATTAATTGTTTATACATATCTGTTTCATACTGTTTCTGAGGTAAATCTTTATCATTTTCAAGCCAGCAAAGATCTTTCTGGCGTTGAAGTAAAAACAGGAAAACAGCGCAAAATATTTAGTAACATAAATATATTTGAGAATATGATAGGGTCACATCACCCTTTGAGTTTTTATTTACAAATTTATAACTCACAGTTAACTGTGATAGTATCAACTTCAGACAGATAGAAAGAATCTAGAGATTAATATTGACTATTCATGTAAATATCTTGCAAATCGCTTATTTTAAATCAAGATTATTTTTTATCTAACTCAAAATAACTTCCATATAAATTAGGAATAGCTCAAGATTTTACTTCATTCATCAAAAATCAAAAATTTAATTCATATATAAGTAAAAATTTAAATKAATACTATTCCAGAGTTAGTGGAGTTTAGGATAGTTAGTATTTTGTAAGACCATTTTAGGAAAATGAAGAGCTGATGCAGATTTAACATATTGTATTTAGTGACAAATTGTCATTGCTCATTTCTAGAATTTTAGAAAGATGAATTCTTGAAACTTGACAATATTAATTTTGATAAATACATTTTTATTTTATTAGATTCTTATTGTTGAATAATATGATTAAAATTATATATAATATAATCATATAGAGGCTTCTAAATTGGTTCTTTAACAGTTTAATCCGAGTTAAATATAGATTTTCAATGTGACTAAAAAGTAATCGAATTCCATCATTACCTAATACCTACATTAGCTACCTAATTAAATATTAAAATTTAAACCATCATAAGCAAAGTAACTGTGGAGTAAGAAATGTAAAGTTATCAATTAATTATAACTAGGGTYAGGATGTTTATGACTTTTGCATATTTTATATTTTAGTCGTGCAGACCAAGTTATAAATTTGTTTTGTGTGACATAGAATCAGATACATTCAATTTTATTTTGCATATTTAGGGATTTTTATGAATAAATGCATATTTCGCCAAAAAATAACTTAATTACAATATAAACCTCAATAAAAACATTAAAAACCCATAGGTAGGCACAGTCAGTTTCACATTTAATGAAAATGAGAAAATATGAAACCGATTGTATATAATTAACTTATCTTTATTACTTACTAACTTAAATATTAATTTACTGTAAGTACCTATGTTTTTAATTTCAAAATATCATATTTTTATATATTTGTATTTAAGTTTAAAGTTATAAAAAAAGTTGTAAATTAATTTAAAATACATTTCGGATTAGAAATCGGATTTTTTTTTTAAGGKCATATTTTAATATTTATTGTGTATATTTGCATGCATTTTTTAGTGTTTTTAAGGTCATAAACATCCTAACCCTAATTATAGCAATACAATAATAGTTCCTACTAATATTATATTGTATGTTAAAATAAAACTTTTTACTATATTTACTATTTTGTAGGTATTTATCTCAAAATGAATAAATATTTTGTTGATAGAATTTATTATTAGATTATCAGTTTAAGTATATAAAAAGATATCATAAGTTATGGTTAAGGATATGCATTGAAAATTTAAAACAATATATATTTAGCTCTAGTATATTTATAGTAATATTTGGCATTCGTTTAAATTAAAAGTATTATTGCTCTTACTAAACTTAAAAAGGCCATAATTAATAAACAAGAAAACCAAAATTAATAATATGAGTATCAAAATTTTCAACAAAATATAGCTTCACCAGAATAATTAAAAAAAAACTATAGCTGTTACCATTTGATCAAATAGTGCTTAAAAATTTTTAAATCATTATATAAAATTTGCCAGTGAAAGACATGTATGACATTTTATAAATTTCTTTATTATTGATTCATAATCATTAAAAACYGTGTGTACAACAATGTAAAATACACCATGTTTAATGCTATAGATTTTTTTTTCATTCACTCGTTAAATTTCTTCCTACGAATTTGAGCTCATTCGTTTCTTAACAAGACTAAAAGTTTTACAAATATATATATTTTTTTTTCATTACAGGTAGTAATGAAAAGTGTGCACATTATCAGTATCATGGGTAATCAGGGTACGTTTACCAAACGCCTGGGTCAGATTTTGGCTTCAGCTGAGATTCTCTACCATCTAATGTACATCATGTTTTGTATACTTGGCCTATGTATGCATCCATTTTTCTATAGTGTGTTGGTAAGCTATAAACATTATCATTTATATTTTATAATATTAAATTATTATGATAATAATTTATTATTATTAATAATATAAGGATGGAATGGTTGAATTTAATAATAATGATTCGAGTTTGATAGTATAATATATAATATATTTATATTTATCATGCGTTCTAGTTATTGGATGTCGTGTACCGCGAAGAAACATTGTTAAACGTCATACGGTCAGTCACGCGCAATGGCCGGTCTATAATATTGACTGCAGTTCTGGCTCTCATACTGGTCTACTTATTCTCCATAATCGGCTACATGTTCTTCAAAGACGATTTCCTAGTACAAGTTGATGATGATGTTKTGGTTGGTGAGTGTACTATTTATTACTTATTTGTACGGGTACTTTGGATTAGTTTTAACTTCCTTATAGTGACAATAATCATTAGATCATGTCATGATTATGTAAAACGGCTGTAAGTAGTTTTCATACTTCTTAACATTATAATTAAAATTAACATTTGGAAGATGTTTTTGAGTTCTCTCTTGAATATTGATTGCAATATATTTTACTAGCCGATCCCGTGCGCTTTGTTGCCCGTTCAAAATACAACTATATATTATGGTTCAAATGTTTGTGTTTCGTTTGTCATTTAATAATCCAGCATAGTGATGTTCAAAACTTTCCGTGATAAATTCCCATAAATTTACCAATCTTAATATCTCTTTTTTTAATGTCAAATGGTGCCACTTTTGTATTCCTACAACACTTTATTTTAAYTTTGGTGGTTGAATTTTGAAAAATCCGTGCTTAGTGGACATCTCCTACCTAATATATACTATCTACCAACCAAATGTCAGCTTCATAGGTCAAATAGTTTAAGATATTGTATTTCGTGTTTAATCTAAAATACATTTGTCAATTGAWTAAAATGTTGTCTTGCTTCCTTTTTTAGACACCAATGGCGGTGACAATCAGCAAGCTTGTTCGGCAACTGCTGCGGCTGGAGAAGATTTTGTCTGCAGCGATAGTGGTAGCAGCTTGACAAGATCTTCAGTGTTTGTAGATTCTGGCGGTGGTGATCGGAAAGAAAGAGCTTGTGACTCGTTGATCATGTGTATAGTCACAACATTAAACCAGGGTTTGAGAAATGGAGGTGGCATAGGTGATATACTYCGAGCGCCCAGTAGTCAGGTAAATARTGACTGATTATAATGTATCGTTAATCATTATTAAATTGTTTAGTATTAATTATGTGTTTATATATTTAAAATATTCTTTAAATTATTGTGTATTAAGTAGCTTATTATTATGTAATAAATACATTATGATATGAAATGGAAAGTCAACCTTTTAAATTAGATTTAAATAGCTATGTTTTTGCATCATTATTTATTATTAAAACATTATTTTATTATAAACAGGAACCCCTTTTTGTGGCACGTGTTGTTTATGATCTGCTATTCTTCTTCATTGTTATCATTATCGTTTTGAACTTGATTTTTGGTGTAATCATTGATACATTTGCTGACCTGCGTAGTGAAAAGCAACAAAAAGAACTGATACTGAAAAACACTTGTTTTGTGTGTGGTATGTAATATACTGTATTTTTATTGCTCGATATACCTTAAAGTTTAGACATAAAAGATTTACACTTATGACTAATATATCATGTTATTGTTATGTAGCCRCATACATGATTATTATGTTATATAATGATGAATATTATGTTTAAAAATACAAGTTGCAAAATGTTGTTAAAAAATAATCATAATTATGTTGACATATTTGTAWAAACATTATGTTTTTTTTAGGACTCAACAGATCCGCTTTTGACAATAAGACTGTAAGTTTTGAAGAGCACATTAAGTGTGAACACAACATGTGGCACTATTTATATTTCATTGTTTTGGTAAAAGTAAAGGACCCTACCGAATTCACCGGCCCTGAAAGTTATGTTTATGCCATGGTTAAGGTAAACAGAAATTATTTTTACTCCCAGTTATAATTAATTTACATTTCTAATTTAGTGTGTTGTTAAAAACCTTGACAGGACCGCAATCTAGACTGGTTTCCACGTTTAAGAGCAATGTCACTGCTTATGGCTGCCCAGGTGGATAGCGAAGGCGAACAGGTTGAACTTAGAGGATTACAAACACAGTTAGAAACTACACAGACTTTAGTGGCATTACTATCACAACAACTTTCTGAACTCAAAGAACAGGTATATCTTTGCCAATCTCATCACCATTCACATAAAATCTTTATCTATCTATTTTTATGAAGAGTTTTTAAATCAAATTGAGGTTTTTAATCTGTTGTTTAATGGCCACTTCATTTTGCAAAAAATATAGTCCAATAAAAGCTTATTTGTCTTTTTTCTATTCTATATGTTATTGTGTATAATTTAGATGACGGAACAGCGAAAACAGCGACAGCGAATTGGACTGTTAAATTCAACTAGCGCATATTATGGTGTTGGTGGAGGCAGTAGAGTCAATGCTTTACGTCAGCAGAATCAAATTGGTCTATTATGAGAAACCTGTTGCAGCATAATCATATTCTCTGTTTTTTTWAAAAAAAAATGTATACATGAATTTTTTAATTAATTGGTACAATATGCACACAAAGATGTCTGTAATAACAACGTTACTAATGGGATTAGCAATAGTAAATACTTACACTACCGGGTACTTAGAATTCAGTTATTTATATTATTATTGTTTTAATGGTAGGTAGTTGAATTGTTATTAAGTAAAAAAAACAGAGAATACTTTATATAACTAAGTTTAGATGATTTTGTCAGGAAAACTGTATAATTAATAAAAAAAAAAAAAACATAGTTAACTCTCACATAATAACAATT